CATGCCCGAAGGCTCGACACTCCTCGCACCTCGGCACTCTGCAGTCGCGCCGTATATGTCCCGTGCGTCGACAACGGAGGCACACCGGCGCCCGTCCGGGGACGACAACCAGGAGCGGGCCTCCGTAGAGGCGGAGCTGATGCGGCAGGGACTCCGGTGTTACGCCTTCGCGGAGCACCATGCGGACGATGACGGTAGTGGAATCCACGTCTGCCAGGCCCTCGATTCTCCACTTCTCTCGGGTGACACCCTTGGCCTCCCCGTATGTCTCGAAGGCCCGTCGAAGGGCATCTGCAGTTACGTCGAATGCCACCCAGTGGACTTTTACCTTCAGCTCTCGCTTCTCTGGATCAATGACCAGGCATGGTCGCCCCTTCACCAGCATGGTCCCCTCTCGCAGAAGCTTCTCTTTGGCGGAGGCGGTGTGCAGCTTCAGCAGCCAGACGTGCCCCATTTGAAACGCGCCAAGTTCTGCTACGTCTTCCCGAACTCCCACCTGGTTCAGAGGCCCTACGAAGTCTTCAGCACGGTACGGCCGCCCCCGGGTATCAGCGTGCAGCACAAAGCTGCATTTCATGGCTTCTCCTGTCGGCAGAGTAGGCAGTATCACTGCGTAGTCGTTGGGAACATCGCCGCGTACGGCATCACCGCGGCTCAGAGCCGCCGTCATCGAGCTCACAGCGGAGCGATCCATTCCACGTGCGCACGCTACCGCGTTCGAAATTGGAATCGGCCACCGATCCCCCTAACGCAACTGGAGTGTGAAATACATGAGGCTTTCATGACAAGGGCCCATGGTTCGAATGTTTGTATCAGCGCTCCCTCTATCACCTTCCCTAATAAGGAGCAGGCTTTATCAGTCAAGCTTCAGAGACTCACCAGTGACGTCCGGCTTCTGGGTGTTAAAATTCAGTTGAAAGTTACGCCTTGTCCTGTGTGCCTCCCTTCTCTGTCCTAGTTTTCTTTTTTGGTATATTTTTTATCATGCTTCAAATTAAGGTTATGCCAATATCAACATCCGATTTTTCACGCGCCCTTCAGTGGGACGACGCCACATGTTGTATAACTTGCAAATCCAACAAGCACTCTTAAAAAAATATTTTTTTTGCATTTCTTGTTTTAAATTTTTGTTTTGCTGGCACGAGATTTTTTTAGCATTTATTTCACACCATTAAAGGTCCTGTAACCCGTTGACACTCGACGTCGAGAACGAGCTGTACTCCAAGCAACACGAGACATCACGTTTTCAGTGTTGTCAATAGGTCTCTCAGGACAAATCTGAAAATTCGGGAATTTAACGAAAGAAAAATAAAACATTATTACGACTTGTAACTTTGGTTACTGGTTCCGATCCGTGTATGAACGTGCTGGAACAATTCTGAGGAAAGTCAGCGACTATCAACATTTCGCCGAAGTTCTCCTTTAATTTACGAAATAGCACATTTCGGGTATTCAAAAAATGTAGTTAGAAACTCGGAAAAAAAAGTTCTGCACCATCTCAACTAACGATTGCAGTGATGCGATTGAACCGAGTCATTTTGCAGCACCTTTTGGAGCAGCCAACCGAGCATTATGAAGCTGCAAAAATGAATTTTTGGAGCACCAAGCACACACTCATTTTTATTTATACTGCGAATACCACTGCCTTCTTTCGGGAACAGTCAGAAAGAAAACAAGACAAATAAATAAAAATAAATATCAAGATTTGTGTGTTGGCTTATCCAGATAAAAAAAATCATCAAACACAGAACTAGCTGTTAAGTTGCGCATATGAAGCACTAGGTATGGCTACAAAATGCTTATCGATGGACCGCTGTGAATGGTCACTTTAGGTGTGGAAAAAATGGAAATCAAATAGTATATTCTACTAAAATAATGCTGTAATAAATTTGAGCACACAAATTAATGTACTTACCATTCAAGTCCTAAAAGTTGTAATAAAAAATTCTGAATTCAGATTTTAACAAAAAAAAAATTTCCGTCATTAAATTATAAAAGTTAATAACATTTTGTATGCAGAACCTCAAAATAACGGAGATCGGCACGCGAACGATAAGTATGCCTTCTTAAATCCAGCCAAAGACGTTAAGGTTGCTCCTGAACTTACTTCTACTGCTTCACCTAATTTAGTTTAATTCATTCTATTGACTGTACCTTGAATGGATAAAACACATATAAAGGCGACAACTAAACAACGGAGTTCAAATAAAAATAAACCAATAGAGCGATTCACATAAAATTTCTTCCGAGTACGCTTGTCAAGTTTCGAATTTGGATAAGATACCGCCAGAATACCGCAGCTTGTTTTAAATAATTGCCGCAGTTTAATTAAGAAATTTTAAATACAACCAAGAGCTGTTACATTCGCACGCACAAAGTTATTTTCTTTCTTTTTTTTATGTATACTTGACGTTTGCATGTTTAACGTCCCGCTCTGGGGAAATGGTTTCCCCTTAGAACTCGGATGCACTGCGACAAAGCAAGATAACCAAATTGAGATTACTTCGCTGCTGCCGCTTCACCGCAGTACAAAAGAGTGCGATGAGAAGCGCACTCAACAAAGCTAACTTACACGCCTGAGCAGACTGAACATAGGAGATATCGCGAAAATTCCGAGCACTGTCAGTGTTTGACACTGACAGAGAGATCGAATACATGGTTATATCAACTGCGCGGCGTCACCACGAGTGTTCGAGCTAGCCAAAGCGAAACGACACTATGCCTGTCAGATGTAGTCGAAGGAGGATGCAAGGAATTGTGCCACTTTTGTTCGATCGTGCCCGGGAAAGTGAGCGGTGCCTTTTCGACGACGAGTGGACATATCGCGATTGTGACAACGTCGACCAACTGCAGCGATCGGCCGTGAATGATATACACGTGGATACAGGCGCAGATGCGGACGTTAGAAGGCTGTTTTAGATTCTAGAACCCAGGCGATAAGGAAAGAAAACTAGTTTCGCGTCCAGCTTGTTATTATCACATGACACCGCTGGGGAGATATCGCATTTGCTCGGACTGTTCGGTCTGGGCAGGCACACAGGAGCTTTTGTGTTTGACGACGTGGGTGAGCAATAAAATTGAAAAAATGGTCCATGCTGTGGCACGTCTTGCTTAAATCGTGTCACAAACAAACACGTTATTGCATGCTGAAAAAAAAATCTGGCTCTTGGATTAAACAAAACTTCGGCACTTATGTTTAGGTCTATGTGTGTTCAAAGGAGCAGTATCACATCAAACACACCAATATCTTGTTAAGAAACTCTCGAAAAGGAATTTTAAAACGAATTAAGCAATTAGCAAAAAGCAGCTGGTGGATGTCGCCAACGCCTCGTTTGTAATGCCCGTCTAGGAACCTTCAGAGGTAGTGACGGTAACTGTCTCACCTCCGGCCACGACGACAGAAGAGGGGAAGTAGGAACTCCCCTCTTCCCAAGAATCCCTCTTGTGTGTCCCCGCGAAGTCGCTTTTGTCCCTCTACAAGATTATAGAAGATTAACCGGTCACTCAAAATTCGTACAAAAGCAGCCACTTCGGTAACTGGAACAACTAGGCCATTCTCTCGATGTCAGCCTCGCCGTAGCTTTGCTCGTCCTGAGACGACCTACGTCACGATTGCGTTGGATGTCACGTGCTCTGTGCTGGCTGTCACGTGCTCTGTGCTGGCTGTTCTCCGAGCGCTTGGCCGAGTGGGCCGTTTATAACGAAAAATACAGCCACTAGGCTCAAAATACGAACGTGCGATTGTCTTTTACGGATACTGTGGATTATATTCAATCTATTTTTGAACACGACGGGTATATTTCTAATTTGCCGTTGTTACCCAAAACTAAGATGGCCGAACGGAACCGATGGCAAAGAAAAAGCAGACACACCACGTGGTTTGTTTTCGTCTACCGCACCACTGCTTTGCCTCGGCGGCACTGTAAACGACAGCGACGATGCGCTGCCGCTCCAGAAGCGGTGGTGGCGGGGCAGCGGGCATCGACTATGCCAGCACTGCAGAGCAGAAAACTTCGTTGAACTGAAATCTTCGCAATTCTGACATTCGTTTTTCGTTTAGCTGAAACATTTTTGCATAGAATGCAAAGGAAAACCGCCAGGGATTTTTCCAAAGTTCGCTATTTTGAAGTATTCGTTAAACCGACGTTCACTCAAGTGAGAGTTTACCGCAGAGACAAGGGCAGCTAGCTTTGCGTCTACCCACTAACCACACAAACCAGAGCTCGGCGTTCTGACGTCTCCGCGCACCCTCATATCCCCCCCTGTCTCTTAGGAGTTGCAAGTTACAAATGATCCCCAACCCACTCTTAAGGCCCGTTCACACTCTTGCGACCGAGTACGACAGAGAGACGAGATCTCTTAAAACTTCTTAAATGTTTTTAGAATGAGGGAACACACTGGGCATTGTGGCGCCATCTATGCGGTGACCCTGGAACTGCATTTCACAAGAGCGAAGGTTTTGCGGGATTTCCGAGGACAAATGTGCGTAATACCCATAGAAAGACTCGTTTATAACATTGACAAAAGTTTTTCGAGTCAAAAAAGAAAGGATAATGCGCGAGAAATAAAAAAAAAATGTGCCGGACCGCCGAGTTGACACTGCTTCCCAATAGATGGTGCCAGTGTGTTCTCTGGTTTAAGAAGTTTTTAGGAACCCAGGTTTAAGAGGTCGCAAGAGTGTGAACGGGCCTTTAACTCGCAGAAAGAGAATGAAATCTCCGGACTAGGGTTAAGGCGGATGCCATTCTCTGTAGCATTCCCAATGCCAGTGGCATACATTCGTACAGAAAATACAGAGAAATAACTAGTAGAAACAAAATGCTGCCATAGCACTGTCAATGCCAAGACACTGTGCCGTGAGACACGCTTTCACGCACTCCAGAGCAAAATAAAAAACAAAACAAAGCGCTGCGAGCAACATGGCTGCAGCCCGCCACTTCCGATAAAAAAGGCATAGTGAAGCAGAGTAGTGGGGAATGAAATCCACAATCCGCGAAAGAGAATTGGAAATCACAGTGTTTATTGTCCAAAGGCCAACTTTTATGCGCTATAAATAGTTTTCCTTTCGTGTTGTTAGCTAAACTCTCATTTTTGTCATGGTGCAACATTGGAGAAAATGCTTATCTAGCACATGTAGGCACAGCAGCTGCAAGAGAGGCTGTGTTTTGTGATTAATGTGAGCTGCAGAGAGTGGGGAAAGAGTGGAATGTAGAGCTTCTGAATTAGGTAAAGGATTGAAGCTACGAGTTCTTTGGTACTTATGAGACCTTCAGACTACCATGTTTAACTGTGTTTCAGAGGCAGACGAAGCAATTTCATACAAATATCGGCATGGAATGTGGGATAGAACTGTATCACGGGGAAGTTTCGTGCGAGAGAATGCACCAATAATTTAGCGAAATTTTTGGATGTTGCAAGTACACAGAGAGAACTACCGCACCAAAAATAGGGGATGCGAAATGAGTCAATGCAAAAGGACTGCCTTCACAAGGCATTTTGATCCTTTGAAAGGTCAAGCAAACTTCTTAAGCCCACAAGACCGGGAATATTTTTTTTTCAAAGGACTAGATTATGCTTACATGACTTTAGCACTCCCCATCACATGATATGAGCCTGCCATACTAGAAACAAAAAAAAAAGAAAAAATAAACATGAAAGACATAGTCCTGTAATGTTGTATGACTTCAACTCAAACAACAACAAAAAAAAACTAAAAAAAAAAAAACACGAGAATCTGAAAATAAATAATATGCTGCACACATTGCAGTCCTCCAGGCGTCAAAGAACACTTCTCCTATGCACGGTCACATCACCAAAAAAAAATCCAATTTCCTGAGCATGGTCGATGTTCCTTACGCACAAAGCACGATGTGCTAAACCTAACCCAGAGAAAGCTACGGAGAGAGAGAAAGAGAAACCCCACGCAGGCACTAAGACTACAATTTTAACCTAGCCGCAGAAAGGAATGGTCCATGAGCATCCAAAACTGATGCCCGTCAGCCAGAGTAAAGGAAGAAGAGTGCTCCCCTCCTCTCTCCCTCTTTCTTTTTTTTTTCACGGTGCCTTTACTTTCCTAAGTAGGGGGTGCTCCGAAAAGTGTATTGCCTGCAAGCGTGTGAACTAATGTCCTCCTCAAGCTAAACTCCTGTACATGGTCTCGATCTGGGAGAGGAAGTACTTCCTGCACTCTGGGCGCTTCGTCTTCAGGGTTGGGGTCAGCAGTCCGTTCTCTACGCTCAAGGCTTCGTGGTGCACATGGATGTCCTTGAGCTGCACACAAGAAAAAACGGGAAAGTAATTATATAGCCTGTTGGCACTAACTCGATACTAGGGATGTGCGAATAGTGAATTTTCACTTCGAAGCGAATACGAAGCGAATAATTAATTTCAACGAATAGTTTCGAATCGAAGCGAATAATTTCGAAGCAAAGCGAATAGTTTGCATTTGCTTATTTAAAAGTGAGAAAAATAAAAAACACAACTTCAATAGTTTGCACATCGATATGGCTCAGCTAGCCGTGTCGTCTTCAACATGTTTTCTATTCTAGGCTACCAGAAAAAGAGTCGGGAACAGATTCAAAGAAGCAAACTTTCCCCCAAGTTTATTGACGCCTGTGCATCACGTCGTGAGCTTTACTCTATATTGCTATGGATAAACACCAACTGCTCCACGTGCTCTGGGAGGAGGAGCTCCCTCCTGTTTGTGACAACGTTCCCCGACGTTGACAAGAGCCTTTCACTTGATACCTGCGTCGCCGGAATCGAGAGGTACAGCTGGGCAACCTTTGCTAGCAGGGGGTACTTGTCCTTCCCCAAATTCCTCCACCAGAGGTAGGAATTCTCCGATCGGGGCCTTACAGGTGAGTAAAGGTACTCCTCTACCTCTTCTGATGGTCGTCGGGAGCAGATGCTCGAGGTGCTGGTGGATGCCAGGGCCTTAAAAACGTCCCACACATCACTGCTGGCACTGGCAGGTGGTGCAGTTACATCTAGGGTCTGTTCAGAGTTCTTTTCCGGGGGAAGGGTCTTCTCTACAGCTGCACATAGATGGTTCTTTGCCCATTGCTTTTCACTTGGCATAGTGTAGCACACTGCCTTGAACCGGGGGTCCAGCAGAGTGCTCAGCGCATGAGCATTTTGGAATTTAATGTCCACAAATCGGGACTTGACATTTCAAAGCAAGCTCCCTGCAAAGACTGACTCCTCTCCACCGCTGTGTGACTGTTTGGTCAGCAGGACCTGCATACAGTGCACTAGTGGCACCACTTGTGAGAGAGTGGGGTGCTTCACAGAGCATGACTCTCGTGTTGCCTCCTCAACGCACTTGAGGACTGATGTCACTGATGCCATGAGGCGCCACTCGCTTGAGGTCAGGTTGTCAAAAGTGTCCCGTTCAGACAAGTCCAAGGAAATAGCTGGACGCAGCTTGAGGAGACGGGACATGTCGTACTCGCTGTTCCACCGTGTGGCAACATCTTGGATGACCTCAGGGGGCTCCAATCCCATAGAAATTTGAATTTCTTTCAGGCGGCTTCTTGCCATGGAGCTTCGCTTGTAGCGCCCTACAACTGCTCGGCCTTTGGCACAGAGCTCGTCGAAGTCCGGCGTTTCCTTCTTGGCGTTCTGTATACACACCTGCAGTGTGTGCGCAAAACATTGCAGACTGGTCCACGTCGTTCGCGATACCGCACTCAAAAAGTTCCTCACGTTGTCGGTAACAATAAAGACTGCAATGTCTTGTGGCAGTCCCCATTCTGTAGCCAGATCAAGCAGGAGGCTCTTCAGGTTTTCAGACGTGTGGCCCTCGGGCATGTGCCTGCATGCCAGGTTAGAGTTGCAGGGCTGGAAGTGTGCATCAAGTAAGTGGCACGTCATCGAAACATAACTGTCCCCCGTCCTCGACGTCCACCCGTCTGTCGTGAGGGCATAGCATGGGGATCCATTCTCGAAATGGTCGCACAACTCGCCTTTGATGCGCTCTTTCTCTTTGGCACAAAGCTCTGGCACCACACCTCGGGAGAAGGTTGTCCTCGAAGGAACCTGATACTCGGGAACGGCAGCGTTCATCAACGCCAAAAACCCCGGCTCCTCGACGATTGAGTACGAGTGTAGGCCTGTGGCAAGGAACAGCGCCGTTCTCTTTGTCAGCGTTTTCGCTTGCTGGCTGTCTTTCTTCAGCTTTGGCTTGAAAGGTACGGGAGTCGCAACCCTGCCGTCAGACTTTTTAGCTTCTGTTTTCTTCGCACTTTCAGAAGCACCCATCTTCTCAAACGCTTTAAACGGTCCGGGATGACGCTTCAGGTGATTTACCAGAGTCGTAGTTGTACCCGTCGGCGTCCTGAGGCACATCATGCACGTGTGACATGTAGCACTGTTGGGTCCTCGATCAAAAAACTCCCAAATCGCGCCGCGGCATATTGCCCGTTGAGTTTGGTGACTTGGGTCGTCCATGACTTTTCCAGGAACGCACAGACAAGCTGCATTCACAGCTCATGGTGAAAGTGACAGAAGTAGAGAACGCGAGAAGAGCAACAAAAGGAGAACAAGGAAATGGTCTAAATGATGGCTGGTATCACTGGTATGGTCCGCGCCACCTAGAAGTCTACGCCGATATCGTTCATATTTGAAATTTATGACTGTTCAGAGCACCGTGATTTCGACTTTTGAATGACACTTCAAAACCATGTCAGACTTAATTCCAAGACAACAGTTACGGTATTCGAGAGGTATCGTAACTATCAAAATGAGGATATTTTCATTTTCAGATTGGAGAAACTATCGGTATCACCATCATTGTTTTCTACGCAGGGCAGCAACGGCGTACGCGTTTTTCGTGCAGCACGTGGGAAATTAGTTCAAGTGTACTCGGAGGCAAGAGGACGAAAATAAGCCAGGAGGTAGCTCTGGCAATCGTAGCACACGGTCACACAGTTTTTGACGTGAATGTCATCTTCTGGGGCCCTCAAGAACACGGTTGAACCTGGAACGAAACTAGTTCCCTCCGCCACCTTCGCTCGTTTGGTGGCTCGCCGGCTAGCCCGGATTGTTTTAGCGGCAGCTCGGACGCCTAAACCTATTCCTTCCCGGAATGTTTGCTGCCGCAATTCTTTCTGGGCGCCTCCTTCTGCATTCCGAAACAGTAAGTGCCCCGCAAACGATGGTCCGCGGCAGCGGGCCGCGGATAGGCGCCAGTTTACCTCCGTTGGAGAAGTCCGTTCAGTTAAACTGAGATGTCATTAGCGGCTCGATGAAAGTTGGAGCCGCCGTTTAACTCCGGCCGATCGCGATTGAGTCAACTGTCGTTTACTCAATGGCAGTTGAGAGCGCTCGTGTGACTAGGGTATTAGCTTACCTCTTTTCGAATAAAGTCGTGGTTTGCACCGTGTTCAAACTTCGAAATACTTCGAAAATATTCTAAGTTTCCGAATAGTACTATTCGATTCGAAGGCCGAATCGATTATGGCATTATTCGCTTCGATATTCGAACCTTTCGAATATTCGCACAACCCTACTCGATACCCCACAATAATAAGGTGATATAGACTCAGCCTACATAGTAAAATTAACACAGGGCACAAAAACAAAGACTAAGTAGAAGGGTGCACACAAGACAAGCGCTTGTCTTGTGTACACCATTCTCCTTCATCTTTGAGTAGGAACCAACCAGCCTGCATTGCCACCCTAACTTAACTACATGAGAGGCCCTTTCGACAAGGCAGTTTTAGGTGGCTGTGCCGAATTAGTTTTGGTCAGGCCCATATTGCTTGGGGTGGGGAAATAAAGAAAATTTTGTTCCACTCCTTCTATGAAAAATAAAGTGCCTTTGGCCACTTGGCACCACCACATAAATTGCCTCGGTGAATAGGTCTTTCATATACGCCTCGCAAGTGGACTCATTTTCGTCTTCTGCGCATGAGAAAGGAAGTAGCGGTGACGTCAGAACGCCGAGCCCTGATTGGCTGATCGCGACCCCCTATCTGAGCGTCGTCTGCTCCTTTGCAACGTCGTCTGCTCGCAACGTCGTTTGCGTCTGTCTTACCTTTCCTGCGACTTTCGGAAGTCGAGCGAGCTCGACTTTGCCTTTCAGAGAGGGCAGACGAAATAACTCGAGCGGTGCGTTGTTTTTGTTTAACAACTAGCAGACGCGCATCAAGGAGGGAAGTCAAAGGACTCACTGGCGAGGTGTCCCAAGGCGCCGAGGTTTGTTTGCTAAGAACCGAGAGGTGAGCGTGTTAGTGTCCGCATGTACCCTCCCAAATACTTTTTCCCTCCTTTCGTGTGCGGCGAGACCCCTCATTCTTTAGCGGCGTCGGCGGGTTGGCGCAGTTAACGTCGTCTGCTTTACGTCTGCTAGTCAAAGCGATGGCTGCTTTACCTTTCCTGCGTCTGTCGGAGATTCACCGCTTTTTTACCGGCGAGAGTCACCGTTGCCTCGGGAAACAAGGAGATAACAAGAGGAAGAAATTGACCTCTTAATCTAAACTTGAGGTCAGCGATCAAAGTATAATACGGAAAGGGTTCACAAGGGTCGCGCGGGCATATTCCATTCAGCACGCCAGCCGGTCGAGGGCAGAGGGTCGCCGAGTCGCGGAGTGTCTGCTAGGCCTAACTGCCGAAGCTCGCTTGGTCGCGTTCGGTAAAATAGTGGCCGCTGGAGCTGTTCCCGGGTGTTTGTGGATCCAGCGTTCTTGTTCGTCGTGGTCTGTTTCAAGTGCTTTTTACTTTTTTCTTGCTGCTTGAAGTCGGGACGCGTGAGAAGCGCACGTAGAAAAATAAACGTCCGTGGGTCGTCGCGACCGCGACGCTGTCGGCCACCATGCTGATTTGACCGTAAGTGCGTAAGACGGCTTCGGAGCTGTCGTAGGATTTCGTCGTAACCTGCGCCGAACTTACGAAAATTTCGTTTCGTAAATACGAATTTGTTCTTAAGTTTTGTCTTACGCACATTTTTGGCGTAAGATCGTTTCGTGAATCTGGCCTATGCACTTCCGAAAGTCGCAGGAAAGGTAAGACAGACGCAGACGACGTTGCGAGCAGACGACGTTGCAAAGGAGCAGACGACGCTCAGATAGGGGGGTCGCGATCAGCCAATCAGGGCTCGGCGTTCTGACGTCACCGCTACCCCCTGCGCAAGAAGCAGACGAACTTGCCCTCCGCATTGTGGGAAACTACAATTCTACCATTAAATAAAAAAATTAGACAAAATCGAAAGAAGTGTCGTTATGCACCTCTGAGGCAGGCACAGTCATGAGAATGTGACTCTAGAAACTGCATTTGTTGCACAAATGCTTGTGCAAAAAAAGTATTTTGCACGGTTATCCTACATACTAATGTCAGAGTTCAGCACGCACTTTGCAAGAGAGTAATTTGCACTGGAATGTGTCTACCGTACCCCTGAAAGATAACCCACCCCCCTTTTTTTTTCACATGATTTCCTATTTTTTCAAACACCGAAAGTTTGCCCATTTCTTTTATTTACCCGATTTGCCTTTGATTTTAGGTGGGCTATTTCTCGGGATGTTACGGTATGTGAGGCAACAACCAAATCAGCAAAGCAGTAAAGGTGGTGTTCGACACTAACCTTTATGCATTAAACCTAAAATGCAAAAAAGCACCACAGTCCCGTTTGCAAACATTGTGTGATGCAGCGCATGGGCTTTTCAATAAAAGGGAACAAAAGAAGATAACTGTGAATCCCAAAATTGAAAATATTTGTTACAGCGCTTTATCTATTATAGTATGCAATGAAGTACCGTATTTACTCGATTCTAAGCACCCCCCTTTTTTCACACCCGCGATGTTCAAAGAGCTTAGATTCGAGACATGCCCCAAAAATACGAAATTTGCACAAGAAATATGAGTTTATTATAATCAAAATGAAAGAATAAATGTTCTAAAGGAAATAAAGTAAACAGTGGAGAGTAGCCCGCTTGCCGTCAGTTTGCACAACGGTCGACTAGTCGCTCTCGCTATCACTCGACGACGACGAGTCGGTGCCCCTGTCCGAGCTGCTGCTCCTGCTGCTGTTAGTATTCCACAAAAGGTAGTCTTCGGTGCCGTCACGACGATTGGTGATGCAACATTTCTTAAAAGACTTGACCACAACATTGGCACGGATCCTCTTCCAAGCATCTGAGATCCACGTCGCCACGGTCGATGGAGAGGCTTTGTGTAGCTTTCCCGTCAACGACTTCTTCCGGTCAGGGCTACGGACCCACTCCTCGTATTCTTGCCGCAAATTTTCCTTGGACGGTTTGTTGACAGAGACGTCCAGGGGCTGTAACACAGACGTCATCCCCCCTGGAATGACCATCGGGTCGCAGTTGTTTATATCCAGCTCTGCCTTCACCTCCGGAGTTACGTGACCACGGAATGCATCAAGCATGAGCATGGACTCTGTGCCTTTAGGACCGCCAAGTGATGCTCCTGGCCGCTGCTGTCACACTACTCTGATCCAGTCCTGCATCAGCTCCCTCGTCAACCATTCCTTCTCCTGTACCCTCACGATGACATCTTTCGGAAAAGTCTCGTTCTTCAACATGTTCTTCCTTTTGAGGATGATGTAGGGCGCAAGTTTTTGACCGTCGGCTGTGATGCACAACATTACGGTCACCCTTTGCTTTTCATAGCCAGTCGTGTGCACTTTTACTTCTCGAGCGCCTACTTCGTTCACGGTGCACGTCCTTGGCATGTTGATGTACACAAAGGCCTCATCGGCATTGCCGATCTGCCCGAGTCCGTGGCGAGATTCGCGACGCAGCTTCATCACATAACGTTGGAAGTTGACAAGCTTGTCCTCGAACTCCACCGGTAGCTTCTGGCAGATAGTGGTGCAGCTCCCATAGAGAAACCAACGTTCCTCTTCATCATCCGCTCCACCCAGCCACAGCTTGCGCGGAATGCCGAACAAAGAATTTGCATCCGTGTGGCGATTTCCATAGCCTTCCTTTGTATGTAATCAGCCGTGATGGCAAAGCCACCGCATCGTTCACTGTGGACGAATTCGCAGACCTCCTTCTTAAGCTCCGGGTGCCGGCCCCTGCGCGGTCCAGTAAACTTTTTGCAAGTTGCGGCGTCCTTAAAAATTTGATTCCGCTGTCTCCTCCACCGAATCACACATGCTCTGTCCACTCCGAACTGTTTAGCAGCGCCGTGATTTCCGTTGTCTTCCGCGCAAGAAATAACCATTCTCTTGAACTTCATCGAGTATGAAGTTCTCTTTGCACTCATGATGAACGACTTCCGCAAACATGTGCACATAGTGAACGGAGTGCGATTGCAAGGCCAATGCGGACGAATAGGCTTAACAGATTAAGCCGACTGCAACAAGTGCAAGGAGACCAAACAGACAAAACATCTTAGATATAGAGGGTACGGCAACACACCACAGCTCTGCAGTGCACATACTCCCTACACTACCTGCACGGCTGCAAAAGTGGAAAATGGCGCTACCTATGTGCTGCCATCTATTAACCGACGTTGAAACCACGCGCCAGCGGCCGTTTGCAACTCTGGCGCTCTGCGATACCGGCGTCTCCGATTTCAAATATCTTTTTGGGGAGGGGGGTGCTTACATTCGCATATAAACTCTTTTTAAGGTGTTTATGTTTGAAAGTGGGGGGAAGGTGCTTAGAATCGCGAAAATTCGGTAGTAACTGGTCTGCAAAAAACTAGCCTCCAAATTATGGCTCCAGATCCTTGACCTCAGTTTCTTACACAAATAAATTCCAGTGCAATGCTATAAAGCAGTTTTTCGGTATAACGAAATCGCTTTGTGTTCCCTCCCTTGTGTTCCCTCCACCTCCTCCACCGAGGCAAACAGCAAAATGGGCAAACAGCAAACAGAAAACGGAGCAAACAGAAAGCAAGGTTCGGCCCAAGTCCAAAATCAACGAGGATTTCGACATTACGGCATTGACTGTTTAATACTGTAGGCCATCTTCCAGAGCGAGTAAAACATATTGGATGGGTTCATACTTCGGAAAGAGTTTACCATGCAAGAGAAAGAGCGCCCGTGATTTGAATGTCAAAGATCACCAACTGCTTTGCACACGTTAAATTTTCTCATGCACACATGCTCACCAAGCCAGAGCATGATTCCCGGAGTTGCAATGACCTCTACAGGAGTGTGTGCAAACACGTTGGTGAACTTGGATTTGTTCACGCTTGTCGAAGCACGAACATTCCCGTTGTTGCTCCCGCTACGGATGCTGTGATCGTAGACTTTGTGTGCGACCAATGTAAAGACGAAGAGAAATTGGAGCTAGGCTCCTTGAGAAATACCGACGACTGCAGAGGCGCGAAACGTTCTACGGCTGCGATGGAACAAGGTAGAGTAAAGCAGCAGTGACTGTGTGCTCTTCCAGTGCCTGAGCCAATTGGAGGAGGACTGATGCCCGGAAAACGGAAAAAAGTGTCTACAAACTCTACTTAATTATTTCTATTTATTCCTCAATAAAAGTGCCGCGAGTTATTCATCATCGAGGTTGGTTCGAATAAACATATGTTTCGAGCCTTCCACAGTGTTCCCACGCACCTTAAAGGCTGCTGTCGCCGTTTTCTTGGCTCCCTCGCTTATATCAAATTAACGCCGATATTGATATTTTTGCCGACCTGCTGACTTTGTTATAACGAGGGAATACTGTTCTAAACATTAGTTACTATTCTCACATAGCACATTAAAGGTTTATTTACTTTCAGTAAACCTTCCTTGAAACTGCGCAGGAGTGACCACACCCCCAAAAAATAAACACTAGGCTTACCAGCTCAAAAGACTTCAGACCCGACACCTTCCCCAGGCGGCTGAGGTCATCCAAGATGGATTTCTTGACGATCTGCGACAAAGACCGTCAAAGTGAGTACTTAGAATTGGAAGCGGCATAAATGTTACAAATCACTGAAAGTAACTGGAACAGCCACAGAATAGACTAAAAAAGAAACTAAACACAAAAGCTCATTATTTGAGGCAACAAATGAACAGCTCTGAACACAAACAGGCAAGTTGAAGAAGTGGACAAACAGAGCGCCATGTGTCATCCTCTTCGACTAATGTGTTTGTGCTTTGTGCACCTTATTTTGTCGTCATGTAGTGCACCAACCACCTCTACTTCATGCGTTGCTGTTATTCAAGATTCAAGGCAGTTTTGTAAATTATGAATAACATCAACTGCAAAATTCAATCTCTGCTCAAAGTTCAGTTCGGCATATATGATATGACGCCTAGAGGGAAAGATTTTTCTTCAACTGATATCCAGAAATCGGCTGCCATTAGTAACTATCTATGGAGGATTAAGTTTAAGTCAGTGTTTGCTTACTAAGACTGAATTTTTGGAGTGAAGCAAAACAATATTGCTTTCCTCTTTGACAGCAAGTTACAGCCTGATGAGCTGCCAAGATGACACCCTTTAAAAGGGCACAGACGCAAGTCTGTACACTGATGTCATCAAGGTGGTCTTCACTGTCCTTTAATAATTGGAACTTTTGCTAAGTGGACCAGCTCTACCTGGTGACTTGGAGTTCCAGTTAACGAGATTCTAGTATAGTAACACCAACAAGTAACACCAACCTAAAATATGGTCCAGATATTATTCACATTGTTAATCATGTAAAAACCCTCGGTGCATACTTTTTTTTTAATGCGAAAGCATTAAAGGTCCCATGGCGCACAGCCAGCAATGTCTGTAACCGCGAAAAACGGCACCTTGTCCCATTGGCCGAGTGTAACGGCACCTAAATGCCCACTGGCTGAGCGAAACGGCATCTAAATGCACGTCATCAAGCATGCACGTTCAGAAATAAAATACAAAGAAAAGCACAGCAACGCAGATGCTTCGTCATAGAAGCCAACGGGGACACTCAAGGTCAAAGTGGACGCGCCTCAGAAATAAAACGAAGAAAAGCACTGCAACGCAGATGCATCGTCACAAAGGCGTGGAGCTGGTGGGGTTCGCCGCACCTGCGCAGTGGGGGAGCGTGATGCCATCGCCAGAGCGCCGTGTGCGATAGAAAGACATAGCACGCTGCTTGTAGGAATGCACCAAATGTAGGAATGCTTTTGCATTCCTACATGTAAGCAGTCTTAAAAGTCTCTGCCGAATTTTCTTATAGTAGCATGTCATAGAATGAGCAAATGGTACACATCTGTAGTAAGCTTTAACAAATAGCGGGCATAATAAATTAATATAAAAACATTTTACCGACAAGCATAAAACTCAAAATTCACAAATCACTTTTTTATCTCGGCTTATGTTACGTGCATCTAGTGTGGGCATCAACTGGTTAAACTAATTTAAGTAGTATACAGTTCCCGAAATATTCTTCGAGCTCCAAAATTTCGAACATGCTTGCTTATTCCGGCAATTTGCTCAACCGTCACTCGCCCCATACACTTAATGCATAATGGTGAGTGAAAATCCAAAGAACCCACCCCTCATCGCTGAATATTTCCGATTTTTTAGTGGTCACCATACCACCACCGTGAAACCGAGCCGCCGAAATGGTTTGGTTTAGTTCAGCCCATGCCTCAACACCATGCTCTATGCATGTTCTATGCTAGGAGGAGCTGTCTATACGATACACAAGCTGGATTGAGGATAAGAGTTGAATTCATCGCCACTTTTTTCGCGTCCTTGAAGGGGCACTCCAGTGCTTTCTGTAGAGGTTTGTTTTTATGGCATATTGTTTGTTGGGCTTTTTGGTCTATAAAATAGACCAGCTCCAGATGGCAAGACATCCTAGTAAACCCACAGCAATAGAAATACACCAGCACTATTTTTTCTCAAGGGAGTCATCCTCGTGTCCCCACCGCCTCCAAAAAAAAAAAAATTTGACCAATGAAAATAATTAATTGTGTGAAGATTCCAAACATCATTATTATTGCTTTTTTTAGGTGCGTTGTGCATTATATTTTGACAAAAACGTAAAATCCTCGGGTATAGGAGATGTAATACATCAATTATTGTTTGAAAACGCCATTGGACAGCACCCCCTGGTGTCTGCTCTGAAGTGCAGAAAGAGGGGCGTGTCACAATGTTTGATTAAATTTTTATTAGGGAAATCTGCCTCCAATGGGTGTAATTTCGTTTTTTTTAGGATGTTTACAGCCCGTAGATTAAGTTGTCACCATTAATAGACAATTTCAGAATTCACTTAATATCCCTTTAAGGTTGATTCGATTGGCAATTTTGTTTTGTGCTGTTCACACAGGAACTGTCACCATCTAAACGTCCGGGCATTGTCCACTGCCGTTCTATGTGTGCGTTCAGCCGACGTCTACAAGCAGTGTCAAATGGCGCCGACTGCATGTTCAACTTCAATGTCTGCTTCAACGGCTGGTTCGACTCTGACTTCAGCTCTGTGCTGCGCCTCCGGGAAGCCCATCGAATCCACGAAGGGATCGTGGCCATCTGAACGTTTGAGAACTGCTTCAATGTCTGCCGCTGTTCTTTGGCTATAGTTTCGTTTACGGACAACTTGACCAAAGCTGTTTTGAAATTCGAGAAGTTCACGGACGTGGACAGTGCACTCCATGCCAGCCATCGTGCAGCCGTTCAACACAGACCGCCAAATGCAAACAGATTCGACTGCTAAGAGACGAAACACAGTCCAGTAAACTATCGACTTGTTTCTCCAGCTATTTAATATATAAAGTGCCAATACAGTGATTTTTTGGATGAATTCACTTTTTCAAACTGCTTGATTATTCGGACTTCTGCACGATCCAGATCGAATCCGAATAATCAGCCAACGACTGTAGTCAGTGTTACAAAAAAAAGAAAACCTCTTCGAGCAGTAGCTACTGTTTCTTTGATTTCACCATCATTACCTATATATTTCAAAATTATTATATAACCGAAGCATTGAAAATTTATTCTCAATGATTAATAATAATATATCAGTCTAAACTTTTCTCAACCTCGCTGACCTTCGCTTACGCAGTTCAGTACATCAAACTCACCAGATGCATCCATGGCATATTCCTCAATAATGCACTGACCTTGGACATCAAAGTCAAACATACACTGCCTCAACTGCTAAATCACCTTGCATCCCAAGAAATTCATGTTACCTCACTAAACAAACCAGCCATACTTAACATTGAATGAAAGAGTACATTGTCTGTATAACTGACTTTTTTTTTTGTTTGTTTTTCATTATTAATATTACTCGTTTTAGCGTTGTTGTTTGCTTTGCAATGGTACCGAGGGTTTGTCCAACTGCATAAAAGCAGCTTTTTAGAGGCGAAGCTCCTTAGGGTCTAGCTATGTCCGGCGTCCGTGCTCACATCGATTGCACTGCCTCCGGGATCGGTCCACTTTAAAAAAAAAAAAATGTACACCCGCACGGGGGTTTGAACTCAGGACCGCTTGCTTACGAGGCAGATGTCTTAACCACTACGCTACACTCCAATGTTGCATGTAGCCGCTCAACATCTATACAGGAGAGGGCGCTGCAGTCAAATGCGTATATAATCGCGTTAAACTTTGCATGCATTGGCTCAACGTTTATAGACGAGAGGGCGTTGCGGTCAAATGCTAAACTGCGAATATAACAACGATCCATACCATACATTTGCTTTCTGACATGGACCGTTGACTTAAGCGATGGAGATGCGTTCCCACGGCGTCTAGCGGATCCGGGCTGATCCGCTAGAAGAACCACTGGCTTTGCATTTCACCGACCATAAAGCAGTAATAATTAAGTCGAAACGCAACCCGGAACTCAGCACTACCTATGAGCAATAAAAAAAAAAATCAGCACCATCAGCACTACCTATGAACAGTAAAACCAGTATCATCAGCGCCACCAGAGCTTCGCCCCAATCAACATCATTCACCACGTAAAGATGCGGCCTCTTTTTTTTTTTTTTTTTTTTTTCCTCGGTACCCCCCTTCCCCCCTCCCATTGCTCATGATGATAAAAAAGAAAAAAGTTTCAATATTTCAAGGGCAACTAAACTCCTGAGGAAAGTTTGACATTGCTGTGCATAGCTCTAATTCCAATGGTCAGATACACTAAAAACCTCTTAAACAGGCTCCCATTAACCACATTCTAGGTTCAATAAAGGTCATGTCGGGCATGCGCAACAGTTTAACGAAGAAGAGATGCTGCTGGTTGCCATGGTCACCGATATTATATGCCTAAATTTGTTTCAACTTAAGGGAGGAGACTACCCAGAAAAACAATTTCTGCAAAAAAAAGTTCATTTTAAAAATGCCATCTTTACATCCACCAACATCTAGAGAGAATTCCCAGAAAGTTTCACTAGTGTACACTGAATAGTTAATTCTTTATAAATTATTTTCGATCCACTGATGCTAAAGAAAAGGTAGAGGTTGGAGCACTTTGAACGCATTTTTACTCGTTCAACTTTCTGGCATAAATTTCACCTTAATAAAACTATAATTTCAGTACGAAACTATCGAGAGACTTAATATTTACGGCTTATATGCTGAAACTTTATGTAGCCGGATACTATAAACTTAGATTTTGCATTTTCATGTTCCTTTATTATGAAAAATTGTAATTCGCAAAACTTGGTAAATGTTTAAAAAAAAAACTTTTTTCATACACTTTTTTTAACCTGGAAAAAGCATTTTTTCCTCAATTTCTTTTCATGGTATAACTGGCAAACAGTTATTCTAGTATGTATTCCACCAGAAAAATATGTGGTTATCAACACCATTTCTCCATGATAGATTCACTGAGCAGATTACATGCAAAGCTTTGCTTTACTTCGTTCTGAGGTATGGTACAGTCGCCGACCGTTTTTTCGGACTCCGATAATTCGGACTTGTTCAATATTTCAGACCTAAAGGCGGAACCGTGACTTACCCCATAGCAGGGATGGACAGTATTTCAAATACAAGTATTTGAAATAAGTATTTTTAATACTTTGTGTATTTTGCGTTTGTATTTAATTACAAACTGGGTAATGTATTTGATGTGTGTATTTAAATACTAAAACATGGGTATTTCAAATACAATTGTAATTAAATACAATTTTGTGGGCGAAAATACAACCCTCAAATTTATTGTCACTGTCCAGAGCAGGAAGAAAACTATGTTCTGCACCGAATCCAGTGTCTCTCAAGCACAGGCGTTTAGTGACTTTGTGATTACGGTGCTAGTCCAGAGCAAGAATAGTGACGAAATTGACGTTCACAGGCAGACTGGCTAAATACGTGCCTGTGACAACTTGTGATGCTTTCCAGCCTGATTTCCATCCATATTTTTGCCTGGAACATTCTAAATGCGTGGTCGTCCAGATTTCCGTAACTGGTGTGAGTTGCAACAGTAAAAAATTCTCTAGCTTGTGCTGCGCATCTTGGTCGTTTCGGTTCTTTGTTGGTCTATACCAAAATGTAATCGACAAAAAAAGCTGCTTGAAGCTCTGAACAATTTTTTAACCTATATTACGTCCAAGCGGATCACATCTTTCTGTGATTATATTTCTATTACGTTACTAGAGCCTCGCACACTAACTCCTGAGCGTGCGATACAAAATTAAAATTAAATACCCAGAAACCCATTGCAGGTCTCCTGAAGTCGCTGATGCAAATTTTGAAAAATGTATTTGGAAAAGTATTTTGAGAAGACCAAATACATTTGGTTGTATTTGTATCATGTACTTAAATGCTTTTTTTGGAAATGTAATTAGATTTGTAATTAAATACATTTTTGACGAAGTATTTTGTATTTGTATTTCGATACATATTTGCATGTATTTTGCCCATCCCTGCCCCATAGAAATAGTGTATATTCACAACCAGGGATGGGCAGTATTTCAAATACAAGTATTTGAAATTAGTATTTCAAATACTTTGTGTATTTTGCATTTGTATTTAATTGCAAATTGGGTAATGTATTTGATGTGTGTATTTAAATACTAAAACGTGGGTATTTCAAATACAATTGTAATTAAATACAATTTTGTGGGCGAAAATACATCCCTCAAATTTATTGTCACGACTCATTTTGCTCATCCTAAGACGTATCCAGAGCAGGAAGAAAACTACGTTCTGCACCGAATGCAGTGTCTCTCAATCAAGCACAAGCGTTTAGTGACTTTGTGATTACGATGCTAGTCCAGGGCAAGAATAGTGACGAAATCAACGTTCACAGGCAGACTGGCTAAATAAGTGCCTGTGACAACTTGTGATGCTTTCCATCCATATTTTTGCCGGAAACATTCTAAATACGCGGTTCGTCCAGATTTTCGTAACTGGTGCGAGTTGCAACAATAAAAAATTATCAAGCTAGTGCTGCTCGTCTTGGTTGTCTCGGTTGTTTGTTGGTCTATACCAAAATGTGATCAACAAAAAAAGCTGCTTGAAGCTCTGTACTTTTATGACCTATTACGTCCAAGCTGATTACATTTTTTGTGATTATAATTCTATTACGTTACTAGAGCCTCGCACACTAACTCCCGAGTGTGCGATGCAAATTTAAAATGAGATATACCCAGAAACCCGTTGCAGGAGCCCTGAAGTCGCTGACGCAAATTTTGAGGAATGTATTTGGAAAAGTATTTAGAGGAGACCAAATACATTTGGTTGTCTTTGTATCTTGTACTTAAATGCTTTTTTGAAAATGTAATTAGATTTGTAATTAAATACATTTTTACGAAGTATTTTGTATTTGTATTTCGATACATATTTGTATGTATTTTGCCCATCCCTGTTCACAACCAATGTTTCAGACAGCTTGAAGTCCAAAAGTTTGATTATTCGGACAAAATCGTCGCGAGCGATCAGCGGAAAACACCATCGAGAAGCGGCCATTTTGAATTCTATGTTGGCTGCAAATGGATTGGCTTGGTTTGGCAGCGCTACTTGAGCACTCTTGAGTCCTACCGCTAGGTGACGCTATGCTAGCCCTTTTTTTTCCCTTTAGCTGCACGTCATCATCATCATCATTATCATTTTGCTTTGTTTTTCATTCTTTCGCGTTGCCAGTCACCATTTTGCGCTCGTGGATTTGCACCTCTGATCTTGTCCGGAAAACGCTAGCTTGGACGTCATGGCCCCATACGTTGTTCTGCCGCCGCGATCTGTAGTTAAGAAGCGCAGAAAGTACTCGACCATAACGCTAGAAAAGAAGGCAGCGATTCTCAAGCTAACAGAAAATTGCCAAACGGAAACAAAGGCCTAACCTAAAACAAGGCACGCAGGTGTAACCCGAAACAAGGCACTATTTACGGTTTTCTTAAGCCCACTTGGAATTAATAAAGGCAAGGTTTTCAATCTGCTAATTTTTCGGACTGCTCTATCATTCGGACGTTTTTTCGGTCCCAGCAAAGTTTGAATAATCGGTCGGCGACTGTACCTCATCAAATTGGTTCACAGGGCTGAAACTTTGCATGCCCTTCTTCTATATGGCTACAAACACCACCTGCAAATATCACGCCGATGGAGCGAGCAGTTCAAAAGTTGACATCCCCAGGTAGTGTCCCTCTTTAAGTAAAATCACTGCCGACACTAGGAGCAAATAAGGTTAATCAAAGAGCCAAAAGTAAAATGTCCCTTGTCACGTATCTGTTATAATCAGCTAAGTCAATCAAGTGCAGTGAACGCAAGCCATGGCCTCGCGCTTTCAGCATGTGTGGCTGTGTTTGTATGTCTTCTAGCCTTTGACTGTGCTCTTATGGTAAACAAAGGATAGCCTTGCAGTTGCTATGCCAACCTGCATTGCCTTGGCAACCCAAGAAGTAGCTGGGACAGCTACATTGCTTGCAACAGACCACTCACAAGGAGCAATGCTACACTTGAGACTGACTGATCACAAATCCTCTGAACTTGTGGTACAAGTCAAACACAACTGACACAACAGATGCAATTTAAGATTCCCAGTTGCCTTGGCAACATTTGGTTGCTAGCCTTGTACAGTAAACTCTCACTAACTCAAACTCAAGGAAGTCACGAATTTTGTTTGAATTATCCAAAGTTTGAATATAAAAAAATTCATCTAAATGTGATGCAAGATAAATTTATGATTTATCTACTATAGTATGCAATGAACTACACATACAAAGCAGATATTTGACGATTTCCTCTACACATGCCTACTAATCATAAGCAGTAGTCTTATGTGAATAGTAGATTTTGAGTTAGAAGCGAATTCGAAGCGAATAGTGGTTTTGGCTGAATATTTTCGATTTGAATATTGAATAGTTTTTTCCCGCCTTTCACTACCAATCCATAATGCTTAGACAAAAACCCAGCTAAACTTGGAAAGTTTGCTCCACTTGTTCATTTCAAAAAGCTAAGTTTAATCTATCGATATTTATGAACTGTGACCTCAGAAGGTCTGATGTCTTGGGATGGCAAGTAAACAATGGATTTGACATAAAATGAATCCTATAGAAATGGCCAACTACACCCAATTGAGTGAATTTACGAATCTTGCTATATCAAATATTCTCTTTAACCACGAGTCAAAAAAGAATGAATCCTGCATAATGAACGCAAGATGTAAGGGCACCTCTGCCTAACATAGTATGCGCTTGCATAACAGTCAGTTTAATTTGGAAACTTTTATTACAATGTAGATATACACATTCACAAAGTTTCCATTTATTTTCAAATACAGCCGGCACACATGCACCATCCCTCTTTGAATGTATGCTTTTCTTCCATGTATGTCATTGCGATATTCATACTTTTCCAAATGTTGATCGCAGCGGGTTATTCCGTTGAGTGCGCTCCTTACCGAGCACCGATGTAATTCAGAGAAGCAGCACCCGCGGAGCTTGCTTCCGCGGATATTGCTTCTCCGCAGTGCATCGGTGCTCGGTAAGAAGCGCACTCAACGGTGCTAACCCGCCGCAATCAAGACTTCGAAAAACGCGAATAATGCAGTTCTTCTCGAAGCGAATATGAAATTTTGCATTATTCGAAACTACTATTCGAAATTTCGAATATTTGCACAACCCTAATAAGCAGGTATGCAATGCATGAAACATTGGTGAAATGTGTGACAGAAGTTTATAAATGTATTCATCCCTTAAAAACATTGTTTACTGTGGACTGTTTAGACAGCACGACATCTAAAAAAGACAAAACAGTTTGTTCAACCAGAAAAAAAGGCAATAAAAATGGGTGCTGCCAGGCAATTTCCATAGTAACTTGCGCGGATGCTGCGACGTGGACCTATGCCACGCTGCCACGTCACGGCATCCACACAAGTTGCTATGGAAACTGCTGCACGGCATCTGTTTTCATTGCTCTACTGTCCCCTGCTTTAGTCCCGTTGAGCATGTTTCTTACCAAGCACTGGTGCGCTGCGGAAAAGCAACATTCGCGAAAGTGAGCTCTGCGAGTGTTGCTTCTCCGCAGTGCACCGTTGCTCGGAAAGAAGCGCGCTCAACCAGGTTGCAAAAAGAAAATGTATGAATTGCACAAAAACACCGTTCAAATTAAGTGGCTTTAAATAGGTTAAAAACATAACGGGACCCCCAAATCTTTTAATTTGTTAGAATTGCTAAGAAGTATAGAACGTCCGAGTCTGAATTATTGCGAGCCTACAGTAGTTGAACAAAATTTTGTAACTGCAAATGTTTGAAGCAGTCACCAAGTGTCCCATTCCTAAACTCTTCAACAAGCAGTCAAGGCTCCAAGGAGCAGTTATTACACTCACATTGTTTCTGCAGAGTTCCTTGTACGTCCCAGAAATGCAGTTCTCCCTTGCCCAGTGCATCAGATATTCCTGGTCGGGTATGACCACCGCTACAAGGCAGGACTGTAGGGAGATAACAAAACCATAACTTAAATTGGTTCAAAAACAAAAATTACTCCAGTGTTATGCTAAATGTTTTATTTTAAAAGCACAACATTAGCAGACGTTGCAACCCCTAAACCTCATTCAAAACTGGATTATTTTCCACGGATGCAGAGTTGATGTAAGTGGGGTTAATTGCCGCGTGAGAAATTGGTGGCCGAATATGTTAGTGGACGGGAACCAAAATCCTCGAATAAACTTGATCGTACGAATAAAATCTTCATACATAAAATGTGTTTCCGCGGCATTCATTGGAGTTTGCGGTGTACATTTCAGCTTCTCTTTCTTTGGTTATAGCATGTCATTTTATTGTAAACTCTGTCTTTTTGTGTGAAAGTGGCCATGTCTTGAATTTCTTGTCTCTTGCCATGACCTGTTTGAACGCAAATACCAAACGTCGGCATCCTGCAATCAGCGTTCGTATTAGAACGGTTAGAAAAGACCACCATGGTAAAGACAAAGTCAGCAAGTTTTTCGTCTACCTGCTAATTGGCACAGAGGTAAAATTCCAACCTCATCCTCATGAGGTCACACCTTCCTCAGGGATCCCAACTCTTAAACATATTTTGTGTAACTCACGCTGTGAAAACCACATTGATTGTTTCCAGGTTCAGTCCTCGCCCCTGCCCATTTTGATCAGGATGAGCACCGTACTACAGTCAAACCTCGTTATAACGAACTAGAATCGTGAGCAGAAATTTGTTTGTTATATGCAATATTCGCTATAAAAGTACACACAAAAATCAACACGAACGCTCCCGCAATCGAGCCCGTGCAAGAACGTCCACAGTATTACGATTTAAAAACGCACTATCGCGGACCTCGAGATCCTACCTGTCACTGAGCAGCATTATTGCTTTCGCGTCCTTACGTCCTTAAACCATGAGAACAGAGCCTCTTCAAAGTCCAAGTAGAGGCAAGGTCTAAGATGCTTTCGGTTAATCTTGACAGAGTTTACATAGCAGTCTTTGATCTTCTTCCTTGCACTCAGGATGGTAGATATCGTGCTTGGTGCAAGCTCAAAGTCCACAACAATGTCTTTTTTCTCCCGATTGCTGTCCATCACCCTCAGAACCTCCACTTTCGTCTCCAAAAAATGAGCTTTCCGTTTTGTCACATTTGCAGTTCTGCTATGGGTGGCGTGGTTGGCGATTGGCTTTAGCTTGCACTAGTTCTTGATGCCACGCTTAGAGGCCAGCAGCAATGCCCCGCTGTCATCCTCTTGGTTCATAAGTGGCACTACCTCCCAAAACGTGGAATTTTATACATCGGGCGATCTAAACTTTCGGAATTTTTGTTTTTAAATTACTTTTTGTATTTTTTTTTTTTCTACTTTTTAATAACCGTCATAGTACTATTTTATGATGCAAGAAAAGCAGGACTAGCTTTGCCATAACCAGTAGAGCGTCAGATCTCACGGTTTTGGTTTCGTTAAATAACTAGAGCTCCCATTTAAATGAAGCATGACCAACCAAAATTTGTGATTAGTTTGCTATATCTGATAATGCGCTATATCAGTGTTCGTTATAAAGAGGTTCAACTGTGGCGCATGTTCACATAATGCATGTTAATGAAGTAGCAGTTGAACTGCACTGGCTAAATTGCTTACCTAGAGCAGAGAAACCAGACACCACCTTGGAAGAGTAACTCCACACTGTCTAAACCTCCATACAACAAATCTGAATTTTTTGTTTGACAGCACTGGCTAAGGTGACATGCAAAACAAATTAAGAACTACCATATTTTCCAGGCTATAGTCTGCACCCCATCTATAGTCCGCAAAGGACATTTTAGGCCGAATAAGAAGTTTTTGTTTCCATAGTCCACACACTGTGCATTGTTTGCGCGATATGCATAGTCCGCACCAGGTGCTTAGTCAACACAAAAATCTTCTCATACATGGCACACCTCTACTTTTTCTTAGCTCACAAAGAAGCTTGTATTATACATACATCAGCATTAACATACTCTTTCATTCACAAAATCCGTCACGTCTCGTCATAATGAACAATCTCGAAAAGCAAAATTCCTGTATAATCCGCACGCGTAAAAAATACAGTAGTCACGTTTCTTTGCACCTCATTTAATAACTTCAATATTAATTCATTTTTGTAAACGACTATTGCAATATATGTGCATGAGTCTTTTTTGTCTACAGTAAACGCATTTACATTGCAAGACAGACAATTTATTTCATTGGTTTCAATTTCGTCAAACGAGATCAGTACCATGTATTTTAGGTCCCATACTTTCCACATCACGGGTGACGTGTAAAATGAATAAAGCTGACCATGCTCTAAAACCTCGCCCAAGTCTCAAGAGAGGAACTGGAGAGTGACGTTCAGATGCGACGGTTTTCACCGATTCAGCTGCGACAGCGCTGATTAAATATGATACGCAGGTAACTTTGTTAAATTAAGGCTTTAGATTATTCTCTACACTATTTTCATGATCCTTTATTATCTTTAGAGGCCAGCGTCGTAAGCAAAAAAGACGTATAAAGTTTGTCAAAAGGTTCTTCTGCAAACGGCACTGCAACTGATGCAAACTAGCAGTAGTAAATAAGAATAAATCGGAAGTATAGAAAATGTGTTTACTTCAACAGTGCCAAGCTAAACTGGCATGATCTCAGTGACAAACATTCACTACAAAATTTAAGAGAATACCATTTAATACCGTAAAAATCGGTGCCTGCTCACAGCAATCTAAACTTTTCATCATAGGTTGTTTTTTCAAGTAAAATTACAAAGCATAGCTCCCTTTATGTAAAATAATAGGGCCAAAAAACTTGCCAAGGTCAACGATGGCCAGCGACGCAGATGACCGAGTCAAGTGGCGGGGCGCGTTTGGTGCATGTATTGATAGATGGCGCTACTTCCTTATTGAGACTGCTTGTAATGGTCGTGCTCTACTAAAATTAACAATCTTTTTGAGATGTACCAAAACTTGAAGTGAAAAAAATATGCGGTTGCATAACGACGGCACTTTTGCTGCAGACGGATTTCGTCTGCATGTCGGCTGCTTTCTTTCACTGGCAAGCCACACTTTCCTACCCTGCTCCCAACGCCATCGTACCTAACGCGACCCGCCACTCAACTCGCTCGTCTGCGTCGTCATTCGCCATTCACCCTGGTAAGTTTTTTTGGCCCTATTTTTACAGAAAGGGAGCTATGCTTTGTAATTTTTTATGAAAAAAACTACCTGTGAAATTCCTATTTGACAAAAAGTTTAGATTGCTACGAGCAAGTGCCGATTTTTACGGTCCAATTTAGGCTGAGCCTGGTGAGTTCAGACACCCTACATTGATGGAAGTGCCATTTGACCTTTTGGAGCAGGCCTTGTAGCAGGCAAAATGTTGTTTCGGAGCAGGTAGTGGCCCTTTTGGAGCAGGGTCCGGCATATGTTGGCATATTACTTGAAAATTAAATAATGCTGCATTGCTATATAAAGCCAATCTCTATTATTGGAACACAGCGCCTGTCGCCTTTTACTGACAGGATATATAAAATTCAACACAGTAAACACAAAAAAAAAACATTTTTTTTTTTAAACAAAGTTTATCTGATCGTTAGATAAAAAAATACAATTAAATATGTCACACTGAGTTCTGATGGTACAGGATATTTAGTTTTATCAGCCTGCACTTCGTTTCAGGAATCTGCAGCAGCATCTAACGACCCTCACTGTTCTGGAATGTTTTAGTTCAGATTAGAGTTGTCTTTCGGGCAGCAGCTTCAAATATTGCGCTATCTGATATTCGCTTCAGAATTTCCGATTCATTTTCGATGTGCTGGCGAAGTCACGATCGGATCGCGGCGCGTTAACCCGTTGAGTGCGCTCCTTTGCATGCACCGACGCGCTGCAGAGAAGCGACACCCGCGGAGCAGACACCGCAGTCGCGCGAGTCGCGCAGTGCTTTGTGCTCCGAAAAGGACGGTGAGGCTTTACCAGCACTACATCCACCCAGAGTTTGGTGCAACTCAACTATACTTCGTTTCAGCTTCGGTGCGAGCGCAGCCGAAGCTACAAACGCGCGCATGGAGCCCGTAACGGTGCCCACACTGCATGAACAAGCCCACGCGCGAGTCAGGAATGCACAGAGCATTGGGCTCGCGCTAGCTTTGACTTCGCTGGTAGCTAGCGCACGGGAACAGGGCGAGCCAACATTGAAAACATCCATAAGCTCAGCCTTTTTTTTTTTTTTTTTTTTTTTTTTTTATATAGGCTGCTTAGTTGGACGTTTCTTCACTCAGCCTCTGCGGCTTTGGTCTCAGATGTTGCTAACGTTGTTCCTTTCAATGATGATGATGATAATGCGCCCTCGCAGTTTCGGTTTGCGTAATAGTTGCGGCGCAGAAAATACCGCGGTACCGCCATGCGCTTTGATAAGACTTCAATTTTTATTGTTTATTGCTACATCTCATCTCGGCGCAGGCATGGCGCAATTCTTCGGTAAAATGACAATTTGGTGCTACATGTAGCAGGATTGCGTCCTTGGCGCAATTTGGCGCGATTGGCGCATCACTTCCATCACTGACCCTATACATTGCTTTACTTTTCAAGGAACAAAGTAATAAACTGATCTGATTGGCAATCTGGGTCACTGTTTTTAGGAAGTTCACATGTTTGCAGCAGTGTTGCATTAATGTTGAATTTGCATATTGCAATATCCTGAGGGATGAAACCCCCGAAAGATAGCACACCCCGATTTAAGGCACGATTTTCTGTTCATGAAAAAAACCAAGATATAGCACACTCCTAGAAATTTCACTGCCTAGGTGACTTCGGCAGTACTGAGGAAGTTATCTCTTTCTCCATTGTCATCTTGCTATATTTGCCGCCATTTTCAGGGCCTTCGATGGCGCCATTTGGAACTGATTGAAGATGCCATTCGGCGAAGGAAGATACCTTTGCTTTTAGTAGGCATATCGACCCAAGGAACTCGTATCCAAAAAGCATAAAAACGGCAGCTGCCGAACGGTGACCATGGTGGCTATAACTAAACTGGAAAATTGGATTATAGCCTCAATTCGGCTTCTTTATTGCATAGAATGTGGGATGGTGGTGTTCGAGGCTACAACCTGACAAAAGCGAAGGAATGGCAATTCAATTCAAGGTGGTGGCTTTGTGAATGAATGGAGAAAACCAAGTTCAAAATATCTAACAACAAGTTGATTGGTGTCAGGAATTTCAGTTGCTGTCATACATTAGCTCTATCAGGTGAGTAAGAGTCTCGTAAAGTTATCCGAATAATCGAGTATGTTTGAAATTTTGGCATTTGAAAATCGGTTGGTGACTGTAAACAGAATTTTACATCTGAATCGTGAGCTGACGAGTTGAGCGAATAGATCATTAAAAAACCGGCTTTCATATTCCTGCATGGCCTGACACTTTGAAAGTTGACCTACCCCCCCCTTTTTTTTTTTACCCAAGTTGCTATAAGGTTTCAGGAGGGCTATCTCCTGGGCCGGTTTGCTCATCTTGCGGCTGCGGCCGCGGCCAAGAGGGATTTTTACGTCACGTGACCAGCTCCATGGGGACAAGGAAGTACCTAGCGTCCCTGCCTAATGGCGGAGAGATCCGCATCGCTTCAAGCACAAAAGCCTAATGTCGCTCGCAGGAACTGATTGCAGGGACTTTCAACTGGAGTCCAATTGACCGTCCCGTTATACTGTAGGAGCGGCAGGTAAAGTTACGGCCAGGGAGGGTAAATAGGAGCCAAAATAAAGAAAAAACCACACGAGATAAAAGTGGTAGCAGCATATTTATCTACCTCCGCCGGCGCAGACTCCTCGCGCCTTCTGCTATGGTCGAGAGGTTAAACCGCCGGTACTTGTCGTCGCGGCGTGAAAGTTCCGGGTTCAAATTGCACTAGGGACTTTTTTTTTTTTTCTTTTTTTTTTTTGTATTTTGCGCGTGTCTTACTTTTTAACTGTGATCCTTTTTAGGAAATCATCCACTTGCACTACTGCGCCTTACACGGTTTTTACTGTTAGTCCCACCTGTTCAATCGAAACACCGGGAAGAAAAAAAAAAAAGGATCAACGCAAGTTAACGCGCTAATACAATCATTTCATAATGTTCATTAAAAGGAAACCAAGATAACAGCATCGCTATGGCTTTCACACTAACGGAGCCGAAACAAGCATCCTTTCCCCAGCAACTAGTTTTATGTGTTTTTAAATATACAATGCTCTTGCTACGATTCCTTTCAATAACAAGAGACGCCTATTTAGGACTAATAAAAACTGCAATTGTGACAATTAAAAAAAAAAAAAACAAGCAAAAAGAAAAAAAAAAAAGACTAGCAACTGTGGCTACACTGATTGAGTGAAATCCTACAGGCAAGGCAGCAAGTCAAACGTCTGAGAAAGTAGTAAAACCGAAATAAAAGCGATCATACTTTTGCTTGCATGGAATGTGATAAAAAGTATATTTATACTCTTTACATTTTGTTGTGGCAATCGTTTTGTAATATTACCACATTATTTGTTGAATTTTAGTTACATTAGCGGACAATCACGACCGAATGCAAAAATGAATTAGGCGTCGACATCGCAAACCTCTCTCTAATGCAAACATTTAAAATGACTTTGGAACAACAAATGGAATTCATTATAATTAATTCCATTTATGATCCAAAGTCATTTTAGGTCCCTCACTCTAATGCAAACTCCTAAAATGACTTTGGATCAACAAATGGAATGAAATGATTGTATTAGCGCGTTAATTTGCGTTCATCTTTTTTTTTTTCTTCCCGATGTTTTGATTGAACAGGTGGGACTAACAGAAAAAACCGTGTAAGGCGCGGTAGTGCAAGTGGATGATTTCCTAAAAAGCATCACAGCTAAAAAGTAAGACGCTCACAAAATACAAAAAAAAAAAGAAAAAAAGAAAGAAGTCCCTAGCGCGATTTGAACCCGGAACTTTCACGCCGCGACGACAAGTACCGGCGCTTAAACCTCTCGACCATAGCAGGGGCAAAGCGCCAGCGCCGGCGGAGGTAGATAAATATACTGCTACCGCTTTTATCTCCTGTGGTTTCTTCCTTATTTTGGCTCCTATTTACCCTCCCTGGCAGTAACTTTACCTGCCGCTCCTACAGTATAAAGGGGCGGTCAATTAGATTCCAGATGAAAGTCCCTGCAATCAGTTTCTGCGAGCGAAATTAGGCTTTTGTGCTTGAAGCGATGCGGATCACATAAGGCAGGGACGCTAGGTACTTCCTTGTCCCCATGGAGCTGGTCACGTGACGTAAAAATCCCTCCTGGCCGCATCCGCGACCGCAAGATGAGCAAACCGGCCCTAGGGTATTACTTCAACACATGCCTTGCACCAGGCGTCATCCCGTCAGTTTTCTGGCAACCACCAGAGAAGAGGGGAAGGAGGAACTCCCCTCTCAAGGGGATTCTCTTTTGCATGTCCCAGACTTGCCCCAGACTTTGCTATTGTCCCTCTAGATTACAGAAAAATAACCCGTCGCTCAAAATTCGCACAAAAGCAACTTTCCTCTCCCTCTCTTTAATGGTGGTGCAAAATGGATTACATGACATCAGTGCAAGGCATGTATTAACATCTGCATGTGTCGTTTAGGGCAAGTTTGCTCTGCATGATGGCGAAACTGTGTGTGGTGCAAAAGACCTTATTTTACACCTTTCCTTCATGTGGGATGCAAACAATTCACACCAAGCAATATCATGCTACGTTTTCTTTGTGCACAACATGCTTCGAACAAAGCGCTCACTTTTAGACTCTCGCCGTGAACGAAGATCTGAGCTACGAACAGGGAACGTATAAAGATGTTCTCCAGCTTCTCTGGAGCAATGTACTCTCCCTGCGAGAGCTTGAAGATGTGCTTCTTCCTGTCAATCACCCGCAAGCAACCATTCTGAAAGGGAAAATATAAAGGACTTAGACAAAGCTTTCAACAGCCACCATAAAAAGCACAAGGGGCAAAATAGAAAAATCGTGGACGGAAAGGAACCTGGCAGCCAACGAATTGTTGTAAAATCCTGTATGAATGCCCTCCCCCCCAGAGAGATTGCCCATCCTATTAAAAATCTCTAAGCATCACCCACCCCCGATTCCTGTCGGACATCTGCAGTATCGGTTCCTGTGACGTGCGAGTTAGTGGCCGGTTCCCAAGTGTTTTTGACACACCCAGGAACTTGAACTTCACGTGTCTGTGATCTACGTGTGCGGTATAGGTTCCCGTAAAAGTCTGTAGTGGGTTCTTGCATGTTTATCGCACCGTGAAACGCAAATGTGTTGCGTCTGCGATCTGAGGTATCGATTTCCATGTCATGTGGTCTCATATATCGATAGCAGGAGGCAGAGTCATGTAATTTCACAAGACTACAATTTTTGGCTCTAAAACCTCAAAAGTGAATGCCCAAATCTTGAATCGAAATAAACTCGATTGCCTATGGAGTGCTAAAGGTACCGTATTTATTCGCAAAATGAACACACTTTTTTTCCCGAAAAATTGACACATATTTGGGGCTGCGTTCATTACGCGGGGTAAAATTTTTGCATTTACACACTTTGTGCAAATGTCATATATTAGGTACCTGTATGACATGACAAGGTACTGTGGCACATTTCCACTGATAGAGGTGCACGCACTAATGGAGGTGCAGATTCAAATAATGTTCTACTGAACTCGTTTTATTTTTCTGAGAGATTACACAAGAACGACGACATTAAAACTACGAGGAATGTTCCTGCGTCCTAACCGGGCGCTGCTCGCAAGGCGTCTGCCCTCCTCTCCTCTCTCCTCTCTTGCCGCGGGGGCGACTTGAGTTGTTTAGTCTACCACCACAAAGGTCCGGCCGACTGGCCCGCAACCGGGCCCCCGAGCTGGTGTCGGGTATCCCCGGTGCGTGCCAGCCTCCTCCGCGGCTCGAGGGAACGTGTTGCGGGGAAGACGATGCTGTCGCTGCAAGCCTCTACATCACTCCCCCCCTAGTGGCACAGAACGCAGAAAGGTGACACGAGCAGGAGAACTTGAAGTTTATGGTTCACGCAGGGAGAGTTGAAGCCTGTCCGGGTAGTGAACTCGCCGTCCGGAGCGTGTGGTTCTTCCCGGCTTTTTCGAGATAGGGAGCGCTCGCTGGTCTTGCGCGGGTAGAGAAGCCGGTGAAGAACGAGGCGAAGAATTTGTAGCTGGTGAAAGGATGGGGAGGGGGAAATCGGCGTCGGAAGCGGTGTTTACAAAAGCGGGCTTCAGGCGGTCGGTGGCGATTACTTGGTTGTTTCCCCTGATTGTGACCGTGAATTGTTTGGGTCCCCGTTTTACGACCTTGTAGGGGCCGTCGTACGGTTGTTGGAGGGGAGTTCGCACCGCGTCGTGTCGAACGAACACGTGTGTGCAGGTGTCGAGATGTGTGCAGACGTAACGGTCTCGACGAGCCGTTCGAGGTGGGGTCGCGCGTAGTCCTTCCATGACCTCTTTTAGGCGGGTCACGTAGCTTATTGGGTCGGACAAGTCTCTGTTGCTCGCTGGTGTGAAAAATTCGCCAGGTAATCGTAGTGTGGTGCCATAGACCAACTCTGCTGTTGTGCACGAGAGGTCTTCCTTGAGCGCTGTCCTGACACCAAGAAGGACGAAGGGCAGAACGTCAGTCCAGTCGGTGCGCTGGTGTGCTTTCAAGGCTGCCTTCATTTGCCGATGGAACCGCTCGATGATCCCATCGGCAATCGGATGATAGGCGGTTGTTTTCGCATGCTTTGATCCAAGCAGGCGCGTCAGTTGAGTGAAGAGTGACGATTCAAACTGGCGTCCGCGATCGGTCGTGATGATGGACGGTACTCCGAAACGTGAAATCCAAATTGACACAAAAGCGCGAGCGACGGTTTCGGCAGTGATGTCCGAGATGGGAATAGCTTCCGGCCAGCGTGTGAATCTATCTATGCAAGTGAGGATGTACCGCTGGCCTTGTGATGGTGGTAGCGGTCCGACAATGTCAACGTGGACGTGGTCGAACCTTGCATCGGGAGTCGCGAAGGTGGAGAGGGGCGTAATGGTATGTCGCTGGATCTTAGCTCGCTGACAGGATATGCACTCTCGAGCCCACTGACGAACATCGCGATTCATGCCGGGCCAAACGAAGCGAGAAGTAACGAGATGCTGTGTTCCCCGTATGCCGGGGTGCGATAGCGAGTGCAGTTTCTCGAACACCAGTTTACGGAAGTGTGCGGGAAGAAATGGACGAGGCGTTCCCGTCGACATGTCGCACCACAGAGTTGCGTCATGCATGGGCAGTTATACCTCTCGCAGTTCCATCGAGTGCGTAGCTGTGTGCAGTTGGCCGAGCTTGGTGTCTCTTTTCTGAGCAGCAGCAAGGACGGCGAAGTCCAGCACTGGGCGTTCAATGGCGCCGATGCAGAGGCGTGACAAGGCGTCCGCCACCGGGTTGTCGCGGCCGCTCACGTGTCGCACGTCCGTCGTGAACTCCGAGATGTACGACATTTGGCGAAGTTCACGAGTTGTGTGGGTTTGGCTATCCGACTTCAGCGATCGTATTGCGAAGGTCAGTGGCTTGTGGTCAGTGAGAATGAAGAAGCTTCTTCCCTCCAAGAGATGGCGAAAGTGGCGAAGCGTCAGATATGCGGCGAGAAGCTCTCGTCCGAAGGTGCTGTATCTGCGCTCGGTGGGTGACAGTGTCTTGGAGAAAAAGGAGATGGGCTTCCAGATGTTGTTTTGCCATTGCTGAAGGACCGCTCCAATCGCAACTTCCGAAGCATCCGTCATGACGCACAGGGGAGCGTTGTCCTCGGGGTACACCAAAAGGGTTGCGTCGGCGATGTCTGCCTTGATTTTGGCGAACATGCGCTCCGCTGTTGCATCCCAGGTCAAAGCCGCTGCTTCGCCGTGGCTCTTTTTGAGAAATTCTTGCAGCGGTTGGAGAGTTGTTGCGCAGTGGGGGACAAAACGCCGATAAAAATTGACGATTCCGAGGAACTCCCGCAGCTGGCGTCGTGTTGACGGTCGAGGAAAGTTCCGGATCACCTCAACCTTCGCGGGAAGTGGACGAATGCCTTGGTGGTCAATGTGGTGTCCCAAGAACTCCAGCTCACCTACACCGAACTGACACTTGGCGGTGTTAATGATGATGCCGTAGCCCCTGAGACGCTCGAACACAGCTTTGAGGTGTTGTTCGTGCTCGGCGGGTGAGGAGCTTGCGATGAGAAGGTCGTCGACATAGGCACGGCAGAAGGTTAGTCCCCGGAGTACTTCGTCAATGAACCTCTGAAAGGTTTGGGCAGCGTTCCGAAGACCGAACGGCATCCGGACGAATTCATATAGTCCGAATGGCGTGATGATCGCGGTCTTCGGCACGTCGTCTGGGGCGACGGGGATTTGGTGATAAGCGCGCACCAAATCAATCTTTGAAAAGATGCATGCTCCGTCGAGGCTGGATGTTATGTCTTGGATGTGGGGGATCGGATAACAGTCGGGAGCGGTGACGCGGTTTAATGCGCGGTAGTCGCCGCATGGTCTCCAGTCTCCAGCTGTTTTCTTTTGTACCATGTGCAGTGGTGAGGCCCATGAGCTCGACGACGGTCGCACGATGCCCAATTCAAGCATGTGCTGGAATTCCTGTTAAGCAATTCGCAGCTTGTCAGGGGCGAGACGACGCGGTCGAGCATGGACGGGAGCTCCGGTGGTTTAATATGGTGAGAAACGCTGTGCTGCACAGGGCGTTCGTCACAGCCAGTGCGCGTCAACTCCAGGAAGTCGCACAAGATGGTTGTGAATTGTGTTGGGGCGTTAGGAATGACATGCGCCGGAGCTGGAGAAGGCACTGCGGATGATACGCCCGACACGGAGAGGTTAGTTATCGTGTCGAGGAGACGCCTTCGTCCTATGTCCACCAAAAGTCCGAAGTGTCGGAGGAAGTCCGCACCAATGATGGCATGTTGCACGTCCGCGACGACGAACACCCAGCGGAAGGTCCGTCGGAGACCGAGATTCAAGGTTAGCGAACGCTCACCGTAGGTGGGAATTGGCGTCCCGTTCACAGCTTGGAGCTGCGAGGTGCTGGACATCCGCTTGTCTTTAGGTGTTGCCGGTAGTATGCTGACCTCGGCACCGGTATCCACGAGGAAGCGGAGCCCGGTGTCGCGGTCGGGGACGTAAAAGAGGCGTTGGCGGCTGTCCGGAGTGGCCGAGGCACTTGCCGCCTCTAGTGCTCCGCCGTTCCATTTCCCGTGTAGTGGCAGGGTGTGGTGCACTTAGTGGCATTATCGCCGAAGCGGCAGTGGTACCAACAGATGTCCGTTTGTGCTGGTGAAGAAGATGGACGGCGTCGTTGGGACCGCGACTGGCTACGTCCGCGATGTTGCTGCAGGGTCGCGACGGCGGTCGTCAAGCGGGAGATCTCCGCGCGGAGCTGTTGCATCTCGTCCGTAGGAGCTCGGACGGCCGATACAACCGGAGTCGAAATCTCCATCAGCTTGTCGGCGAGCTCTGCCAGGTGTTCAATACCGAAGTCTCCAAGGGACGCCAAGATCATGCGCACATTGTGGGGCAGACGCTGGACGAACAGGTTCCGCAGGAACGAAGCGTCGATTGTAGATGCCTTCTCACCCATCAGCTGCTGCATGCGGCGCAAGAACTGGGTAGGTCGGCGGTCACCAAGTTCCTCGGTGGTCAGGAGTTGTTGTAACCGTCTTTCCTCAGAAGCTGTTGTGCGGCGGATCAGCTGCCGCTTGAGGGTGGCGTAGGCATCCGTGGCTGGTTGCTGGAGGAGCAGGTCGCGTACCTCGCTGGCGATGTCTGGTGGAAGGCTGGCCACGATGTGATGATACTTAGTGCGATCAGTGGTGATCTTCCGAGTCGCGAACTGCGCTTCCACTTGTAAAAACCACAGCTCGGGATCCGCAGGCCAGTACGGTGGGAGCTTGAGGGCGACGACGGAGACGCCTTCCGCAGGGGGCGCGTAGATTCATCGCAGCGCTTGAGGTAGGGTTTTTCGTTAGTCCGGGTCACCAATGTAGATTCAAATAATGTTCTACTGAACTTGTTTTATTTTTCTGAGAGATTACACAAGAACGACGACATTAAAACTACGAGGAATGTTCCTGCGTCCTAACCGGGCGCTGCTCGCAAGGCGTCTGCCCTCCTCTCCTCTCTCCTCTCTTGCCGCGGGGGCGACTTGAGTTGTTTAGTCTACCACCACAAAGGTCTGGCCGACTGGCCCGCAACCGGGCCCCCGAGCTGGTGTCGGGTATCCCCGGTGCGTGCCAGCCTCCTCCGCGGCTCGAGGGAGCGTGTTGCAGGGAAGACGATGCTGTCGCTGCAAGCCTCTACAGAGGCACACCCACAGCTGGTGGAGGCACGCCACAGTAGCCATGCTTTATAAATTGCGAACCTTTTTAGGGCACTTTCGGCGTGCCTTTTGCCGAAGGAAAAGCGCCCTACGAAGCTCACTTGGCACGGAGAGTGACGCGACCGTTCTTAGGCCTAACCCCTTTCATGATCTCACTGTCCAAAAGCGGACCACAGACGACGGCGTGTTTGATGGCATCAAGGCATCCAATAGGCGAAGAATGCCCGGGGCTGGGTAATTCCTCAACCCAAGCTTCGTCAAGTGTGCGTGCGGATCGGTTTCACGGTCGATCACTTCTGCAACTACGCACTTGCAACCATTATGAGAGCAGCTTGGCTTGGGTTGGCTCGGTTAGGGCCTAACTGCTTGGCGGCAAAAGAAAATTGGCTTGGTGGGCTTGGTGGCTAGCTAAGTGGATGCAATTCGAAACTCGCAGAGTCAAAAATTGGAGGTGTGTTCATTACGAGAGGAAAAGTGTGTTCATTACGAGAAGAAAAAAAAAAAAGTCCAAATATTGGTACCTATTGTGGCGGGTGCATTCATTATGCGAGTGCATTCATTATGCGAGTAAATACAGTAGATACATCTTCCAAAAGTGGAGAATTGACACCCTGCATCAATTACTCAATTTGTCAGAAAGGTGGTTTTCAAGATGGCATAATCAGACCAAGGTTACAGAAGTAATGTTTTGATTGATGCAATACAAGAGGAAAAAGCAAATATTTGTTCCATACTTAAATCTTGAGCAATGTCCACCTCCTAAATTTTTAGCGCAACAAAATTCAAACAGGCCTAACAAGCCCTTTTGTTCACCTGCATGCACTCGGACATGGGCGCTCGTTTACGAGTTTCACTTTGTGTGCACACCCTCTCTTGCAGAACATATCTTTGTCAAATTCGATCCCCTGAACTGTCTTAAGAGATAAGCAAAAACATACACAGCTTTTGGAGCAGAAACCTGCACTGCTAAAATCACGAGTTTTTCAACCTTTCTCCCAAGGGAGGGCCATGAAAGGAATGCTCACGTCAAGCCACTTGCCGATGTCGCCCGTGTGGAGCCAGCCGTCCTTGTCCAGAACCTCTGAAGTCTTCTTGTTGTCCTTGAGGTAGCCCTGGAACACCGTTGGCCCCTTCACGCAGATCTGAAAGTGCAGCTGGCTTTAGCAGGACATGAGGTTCAAAAAGTATGCCACAACAGGGAGCAGCCAGGTTAGATCTTGCCCTTCCCTTTTTTTCCACTTACATCGTATGTATTCTCAGTTAAGTGCCAAACAGCCGTATGGAAAGTTCGCATGCCGACAATGTTTAGCAAAGGGATGTAAGCAAAAATAAAGGAATATGAAACCTAAGTGTCGTTTGGAAATGTTCACATCTTTAAAAAACGTGTTGTCTATATATTGACTTTCCCATTTCGACAATCTAATTCCAGACTGTAGTTTGGAATTTTTCTGTAGGCATATTTTAATTTTATGATAGAAAAAAAAAAAAAAAAAAGCATGATTAGCTACAACTTGCACACTCCAGGCAGATAGTATCTGAAAACGTCTAGAACTTATGATCTGTTTGGACATTTCGGAATAAAACGTTCGCTGCTTCAGGCGTCTCGAAGCAGCTTCACATTTATGTCAACACAGCCAAATGCTCCAGGGGAGCCTTCTGCATGTTCCGGCAATGTGAGAATTTCGAAGGGCAAAAACAAATTTTCAACTATTTTTAAACGTTTCTGTTTCACCAGGAGCAATTCGACAAAACAAATCGAGTTTGAATTTTTTTAAATTGTCCCAGAAATGACAGAGTTACGGGCATGCGCCGAAAATGCGAAATGCTCAGGCTTACTTGGCTGGGAACAGGCACACACACACCATGCCGCAGTACCGCTACTTATGTTTACAGGAACTAGCGTAGCCCTTTCGGCACACATTTTCATTTATCGGTTTTGTTGAGTTACTCCCACATCACAACCCAAGATGTTTTCTTATTAAAACAATGTGCAATTTAAAAGGACATAGCTCCTTGCTTCTCTTATTACAGTAAAAGTGACAGGATGCTGGGGGCAGTGACCCTTCTTATATTGCCAAAGACACCAAAAATGTGTGACCATGTAGTGGCATTGAGCCAGGTTTGCACAGCACAAAAAATCTATTACAAAAATAAACTGGTATACTCATCTGGGTCACATAAAAACAAGACTGAAAACAAAGTAAAGAACTACTATTACAATTATACTCGTATTCACCTCAAGATTTTAATAGTAAGAAAAAGCCAGACTCCTCGTGGAAGGTTACTAATTGCACCCCTTTATGTACTGAATCAAGATATGTGTAGATCCATAGTAGATAATCTTCATGTTATTTTATCGAGACATAGAAGTTTCAAATGTCATAAGCATTGCTTACTCCTTCGACAACCAAATCTTGTAATAACTACTTTGCGCAGCACACGAATAATGCACAAAACTTCCTTTTTCTTGGTGTAACAACGAGTATACCTAGTTTCCTAGTGTTAATATTAATATTTCAATGAAGTTTTGAATGGATTAAAAGCTTATCCACCCTTAACGTGTACATTGAGACAGTGCCCACTCAAAATATGGAATGAACGGGAGATGGGCGCTCATTAGGTTTAAAAGCAAAAATTCAAGAGGGGCACAAAGTAAGGTGGGTTTCACCGTTTTTCACGAGGGTGCTTTGAGAAGCAGCTGATGAGGAAGAGCAGCTCTTTTAACTTGGTTTTTCAGAAGCCTGGGGTGGGCACTTTATATGTCTGTTGCTTAGTTTTCAAGCATTTCAAAACCATCCAGTGGGCAATTTTTGTGAGATGGGCACAAGCTCAATATTTGATGATAACACCATCAGAGGTAGTCATTTTCAAACCAGAACTCAATAGCTTTAGTAACATCACACATGCTTCGGTTACGGTCAAGTCGAGTAATCAGCATCACTACTATAGGCACATTTGTACTGCGACCCTTTGCACAATCTCTGCTCCAGTTCTGTAGGTAAAATCTAGATGTTTGGCTTTACACACAAGGCACATAACAGCAGTGAAAAGCAAAACAAATAAATGTCATATATGGGCCCAAATTAAACAGAAAACCTCACCTCTCCCTCGTTGTTGTTAGCATAGTACTCCATGTCAGGCACATCAACGAGCTTCACACTGCAGGCAGCAATCGGAGGGCCCACGTGCCCTGCAATCCCAGTGAGAACGCAACAGTGACGCTTTAAGCTCTCACAGTGGAAATATAACTCACACTATTTTTAGTTGACTAGCATCTCGTCCCATTCCCAGCATATGAAGGAGGAATTCCAGACTATTTGTGACTAGGGAAACCCTTAGCCGAGCTGCCTTTCCTCTTCCCTCTTCTCGGTAAAGAGAAACAAATGAGTGCCAAACTCAAAAAGCTCTCGTCGGTAGGAATTGTAAGACTGGCGGGAGAATTTGGCTGTATAAGGAACCACTAAGAACAGCCAGGGGAATTCCTGGGTTTCCAGGAACCGCCTATGAAAGCACACGGTACACTCTTCATATAGCACAAAACACTACATTGAATTTTAAAAAAAAGCCACCGTATTTACATGATTGTAAGTCAACTCGATTGGAAGTCGACATTGCATGTCATCAAAATAAAGTTCCCATCGTCATCCCTACTACGTTCCTGAAGCACATCAGTGGCGTCATGCAACAAAATTTCACACTTTGCAAATGATTGCATCAACCGCACCTTCCGCACTTGTTCGGCGACTGCATCGCACACCACAGGTAGGGACTGATCGCGCACTTCTGCAGCGTACCATTGCAGGCCTGACCTCTTACTCTGGAAAGCATAGACCTATCCAGACCTTGGCTCGCGGAAGCCTCTTCGTTTGCCGTCACAATTAAGATCCTGTGACATTGTAGAGGCAACTGGCGCACCACCCAATCTAACAGGTCGAACTTGCGTCCAACAGAGCAGCTCTCGGTCGCTTTTGGACGAAGAATGGCCGTAAACGAGCACCAAAATGTAGGGGTGTGCGAATATTCAAAACAGTGAATACTTCGCGAATAATGCTTGCATTTTGATTCGATTCGCTTTACACTTTCACTGTTCGAAGCATTCGAGTTCTTCAAATACTTTGAAAACTATGAATAACGCAGAACTTGCTGAATAGTGTCACGGTCAAGTTCCCCGTTTTGTTTTTGGACTGCGCAGTATGGTTTCAAGCTTGGCAAACCCAAAAAGCCAACCTAAGTGCCTTTTTTCTTTGTATGAAGCACTGGAAAGTTATTTGCACGCGGTAGCACGATCTGTCCTTTGCTTGCCATGATGTCTGGATTGTGGAGTTGGTGAAGTGGTCGTGGCGCAAAACGCTGCGATAGATTTGATGAAGGACTACAATTTGCAACCGCATGTGCATCGTCGTGAACACAAACATGATCGACCACACTCACTACAGTCCTTCCTACAGTCACTACAGTAGCCAAAGTGCTATGGATTCGGATATGGATTTATGGCTGACCTCGGCTATCGGCGATAATGGGCTCGTATTATTTTCCACTTGATGTTCCGGTTCATTAGTTTGCCAGTATTCCTTTTGCTATTTATTTTTATCCGTTTTCACTGATAAAAGTGAGACTGGTTTCCTCCACCAAAAAAGAAAAACATATTTTAATATATTGTTTCTTTGGGCGCCCTTTATCAACAGAACTATTGCACACGGAAAGAGAAGGCGCAAAGTCAGTGCGGCTGCGCAGTGCGATCGCACGATCTCCAGCCCTGCTGTAGCCTGCCGATTTGCCACTTCTTGTGCAATTCGGTTTTTGTTCACGTGGTAGCGTTCACCCGCGACGCGATCACCGACTGCGTTGCGGCTTGCCAACCCATCTCCACCTGTGTACTCTGATTTATGTTCGGTAACTTCACTCCTTGAATGGTATTTTACTGACTGATCTTTTACTTCATCTGTTTTGTATCAGTCACATGTGTGACATTTTTCTTACTGCAACTGAAATAAACTTTTCATAAATGTTTGTTGAAAAAAAAAAAATTCCAGTTGTGTTTTGATCGAGATTTCTTGTTTAATTCACATCAAATAGAAAATATATATATTGTTTTTTTTTTTTTCACAAATGGGTTTATTTGAAACTATTATTCCTATTCGAAAATACTGATTAGATTCAGTTCATAATGTTTATTATTCAACTCGATTCGTTTTGAAAGATTTTGATATTCCCACACCTCTACCGAAAAGCTAAACTGTCCGGATCACATGTGTCATACAGTGAAACATAGTTGGTCCTCCAATGCCGTCGCACGTTCTCGATGCTCAATCAAGCAACATGCGACCCTGCATCGTGTGAAAAGAAGTGGCGGGGACCAAGCCTGTTCCAGCAACCGTTTCGGCGTGGCTCTTACCCACATCAAGTGCTGCCACCCTAAGACTCACCGCCGTGCATTCAGGCTGATATGCAAATCACGGCTGGTGGTACTCGTTCGCGCAGGTTACAAGTAATATAGAATTTGTAAAAAGAGCGCACAGAGTGGCGCAATGCTACAGGTAAAAACAGCTGAACTTGTAACAAGTCAAGGAGTTTTTGATATCGCGAATGTTTCGTTTTTGTTGGCAATGGAATGCTTCCAGTTTGCAAGAATTGAAGTATGGGTGGACCTACAGTCGTGTAAATACGGTAGCTCCATTTAATTAGCAGATTATAAACACCGCTTGATTGAGGTTACAGAAATGTACCACTGTGTATACTGCAGCAATAGAACACCTGAGTAAGCTATAAACTTCACACAGTTAAAATTGACCAATTATTGTATGTAGCCATGTACCTCCACAATAGATCTAGTGGCAACCCAGAAGAACAGTTTTAAGGAGGTTTGAAGATATGAACATCTGGAAATAGGAAAATTTCGACATTCCCAAACTCTCCGTCTTTTCCCAGCTAAGCCACCACGATACTCAAAGGGTGATCTCACCCTACCTGGCCATCATCGAGTCCCTAAAGCAAAGGGGTCTCAACAAGCAAAATAAAACCGCTCCTTACTAACCATATCAAAACTGCAAGCATCTTCAGTATGACATACACCCTATTTCAGCATGGTGTTCTTCAAATGGTGTGGCCAACTTTCTGAGACATTTCATGGAATAATATGTTTTCAAGGAAATATAGAAATTCTAATTGATTTGCGTTCTATTATACCCATGGAAATTAGGGTCTTCAAGAAAATTACTATCTTTTGTCAAGAAAAGCGGAAATTCATAATTTTGTGAATGTGGCTCATAGGATTCAATCCAAAAAAATGTGTAAAGCCGTAGAATGAAAATTATATGGGTTACTAAGTTTAATTACTGCTCATTAATATTTTATGATTGTCATAAAATATTCCCGGGGAGTGTTACGATGTTTGTTGTTGCTCAGTTGAAATTCTTAGTGCATGTGCCGAGGCGTTGACATCCAAGAAACTTAGGGTTGCCTTCTTCAAAATGAGTGCAAGACGAAAGCAATGCTAGTTTCTAAAAAAATCATTATATTTTAAGTTTTCCCTGTGTATTAGATGCTCCACTTATTACTTGTGTTGAAATGGTTTGTAATTTTTGAGTTTAGATGGATACTCCAATTTTTAATCATCATGTCACTGCTATATTTTATGCATCCTTTGAAGCAGGGGTCTCAAACATGCGGCCCGCGGACCTTTCACTAGCAGCCCAGCTTGCACGTAACTGTTGGCAACTAAATGCTGCGGTCGCTCATAGATGGCGGCAGCATTTCTTCAGAGGAAGAAGATCGAGAATGGAACGAGCGGCGATGTGCGCAGCAGCGCAAATGGTTCCGCAACCGCCACGAGGCCGCTATCGCCTAAAGTACCACTGCGTGGAGCGCTTCAGATTCCCTTGTGAAAGAAGAGCAGATTGCTTGCCTGGAAAGCTACCGCCGAGAACAGAAGCTACAGCTCCGCTGCTCTCCCTTCTTCACCAGAGTGACAAGGCTGAAAATTTTCTTAACAAGTATGTTCATGAGCCTTCATACCGCAACGGAAAGCTGTCTGCAAAAGAGAGGAACTAGGCCGGCAAGGCCGACGGACATGTTTCTCTTCAAATGTCTTGGCTCAAGAGGTGATTTCATAGTGGCCCAAAGTTGCCGAAGGCCATGCTGCTCGCCAAGAGAAGGGGCTCCACCTGGCGCCTCGCTGCCTGCTCCTCCAAAATACCGGATCTCCCCTCTATCCCGCTTTAGGAGGAAGAGAAGAGTGAAGGCGGCGAGAAGAGGAGAGCACCCGGCATCAAAGCCGGGAAGTGAGAATAAAGTAGCAGAGTTTTGGTCAGGCCTGGTTTTGGTAATCGCACTCTGTGCTCTGCTGGTCTCTCTTGACCTCGCCAAGGCTCATCCATTTCCTCATTGTTAGCACCTCCATCCCTGCATGAGTGCATTAAACTGAGACTCCAAATTAAGCGCCTACTTTGGGGAGTAGAGGAGGATCATCCGTTCTTTGTCTGCAGAACCCCACACCTTTGAATCTGCAATCGCACCCATTTGACCTTCGAACAGTAGTTGTCAGCATTAAGTCAGTCGGAAGGCCACTCTCGAGGAGATGTTCTCGCTTACTTTGGAGCTTTCGAGGTATTTGTTCGGAGTATGGGAAAGGCGCCAGAAACTCCCTCCTTTTCTTCTGTCCTGACTGCCATTCTTTGTCAATAAATGTGGTTCCAACTTCCACACATGCCCAGCTTTTCGTCCTCTCGTTTTTTCCACTGTCTAGTGAACAGCGACAAGTTAGCTGGGCATTATCCGCTCAAGGATGCACACGGCTTATGAAAAGCAGGCGATTACAGTGTCTAAGTTAGAGATATGTGACGTGATGTAAACAAGACCACTCCGACTCTAGCCTTTCACCTTACCTAGTTAAGCTGAACAATTGCCCAAATGCTGAAGCAGACTCAAGTTTTTAGGGTCTGAATCGTATTTTGGTTGGCAAGTGGGGTCGCGCTCTACATCCGAGGGACTGATTGTCATGGTAAGTTTCAATGTCCTCCAGTTTTACGACGCCAACTAGGGCACAGAGAACGAAGCTGTCTGTCCTGGAACTCTAGCGAGCCGCAATGTCGTTCTCCAAGCCATCTGCAAAACGCAAAGTGGAAGACGAGAAGAGGTGCTTTCAGGGCGATGGGAACTGTCTTATTTTTTCACAAGATTAAGGGACAGGGTGCTGTGCTTAACTTGCAACCAGACTGCGGTTGTGCCGAAGGATTACAATGTTCGACACTACTTCGTGTCTTGCCATCACGAGAAGTATGATGCTCTTACTGGCAAGGTCCGCGAGCACACCATGACTCAACTGAAGGCTGCATTGGTAAAGCAGCAAGACCTCTTCAAAAAGGCAGTCAAAACAAGCAATGAGACGGTAAGAGCAAGCTTCGTTATTTCAGAGCTTATCACCAAATCATCCAAGCCATTCACTGAAAGCCTGTTCATCAAAAAGTGTCTACTCGAAGTTGCTGATGCTCCCTGCCCCAGCATGAAAAAGACCTTTAAGGAAATTTCCTTAAAGGTCTTTTTCATGCTGGGGCAGGTAGCATCACCAACTTCGAGTAGACACTTGCCAATGCAGTCTTTCTCCAAACACAGTTGCCGAGAGAATTAACGAGATGATCGAAAACATTAAAAGGATTGATCAACCAATGTCACGAGTTTGAAGCCTTCTCAACTGCAGTCGATGAAAGCACTGACGTTAAAGACAATGCGCAGTGTGCTACTTTTGTCAGGAGCATGCATAGACAAAAACCGATATATGAGATATTGGAAGGGCCTTCTTTCAAATGGCAATGTTAGCTGGCATTCTGTTAACCCCCCCTCCCCTCCACACTGCTCCAACCTACTTTAGTGACCAGGCCCTTGCGGGACTAAATTTTGTCACTGCGGCCCGCTAACTGAGGAGAGTTTGAGACTCCTGCTTTAGAGCTCTGGATGATAGGACTAAGATAACATGCAGTTTTGCGAATCAACTTTGTTGTTTGCATTCATTCTGTTCACTTGTGCATTGCCATGTTGAATGCATGTCTCTGTTTGAACCTGTATTGGAGTAACTAATTCAAGTGTCAGGGTGTGTCCAAAGAAGATTTATTTGTGTATTATATAACTCACTTTCAACTAAATTATGATTATTACAGTTATGAAAGCACCTGTAGACACATGAAATTACCTCGATATATTGCGTAGGAGGAGAATGATGCATGATTTGATGCTCCTGTATGACGTGAAAAATGAATATGATTCACCCCAAGAAGTCACATTTACTTTGTGTTCCTCGTGGGCCTAGCACAAGGTTCTGTTCATTATTCCATCCTGCTGCTTTGTATAACGCAGAACACACAACAGATTTTCAATAAACATATAACCATTTTGAACAAGATTCTACGCGCAATTGATTTTGTATTTTTTGATAATTAGTAGATTTTGAAGGTGCATTATATTTAATTTTACTTTTCAATCCTGGTTTCTTCTTTTCTCCCTTTTTTTATTTTTCATTAAGGACTACTTAACAAGTGCACCGCTAAAAGGCATCAAACTGCTTGTGAAACAAGCGAATGAATTAACATCTGTTAAAAGAAAGTTCAATAACAGTGTGTTGAATCACACAACTATCTATGCAGAGTGATGCTGGCTCATACCAGCATTGTAGTCACCAGGGAACGTCAAAGTGCATGGAGCAGTGCATTCAGTCTGTCCATAGCCCTCCACGATCTGTGTGATACACAAAAAGAAAGTCAAGCTTCGTAACACCATCAAAATTCAATTCAGTAGAATGACCCTAAAAGGCAACCTTGTGCAGACTGGGGCTCACTAGTAAATTTAAATCAGATCCAGAACAGCACAAGGGGTAAGAAAAATGTGCACTACATAAAAGTACTGACTTCTTTATTAAAGCACAGGATATATCACACAGCTCAACACAAACACAGGTTCTGAGCACTATAGTGTGTTTTATAGTTTTGTAGCGTGTTTGACTTTGCCCATGATTTAATAAAGACAAAGAATACACTTGTTTTTCTCATTTCTTCTCCTTGCAATTTTAGATAGAGTGTGGCTGAGCACCGAGCAAAAACCAAGCCTTCAAGTTTTTCATTTTAGAAAAAACAGAGCAATGAGGAATAGAGAGCAATAAAAGAGAATGTGGCAAGCATCAACTGTGTAAAATCGTAAAACCCAGTGTTAAGACAAGAACCATGAATGTGTTTTCTAAAAATCCAGTGGAGCCAAACTATTTTCAGAAGCTGTAAAATTAAGCCCTGTCCCAGTAGCATGTTAATAGTATGTTTTACAGGGACTAAAGCAAAGAAATGTATAATCTGGGGAAACGCAGCAATTAACAATGCTTTTGTGGGCTAAAAGATGAGACATGAATTGACTCGTACAGTAATTTATTTCACATTAATGTTCCCAGCTATGAAGAATTATTATGTATTTGTTCAGGTATAGGTTCATGACTATTTTTATTTCTAGACTGAGCTTTCTGTTGATCTATAATTGTATTTAAAAAATGCCAACTCATAAGTAAGAGCAAAATGTCTGAGCCTATATTTATAAAACCTCGCGAGAAATACCGAACTTCCATTCACCGATTTCCAATGCCGCAAAGTCAGTAAACCGTAACACTGACAACCCTGAAGAGAGATTCATGTAGAACCTATATTTGCATTTATTAAGAGCCCCAAAAAACAAAAAAAAAACTTACCACGGCACCCAAGGCACACCTGACGAAGGTGATGACGTTGGGAGCCAGGGGCGCCGACCCAACCACCATCAGACGAAGACGTCCTCCCATGCTTTCGTGAACTGACTTGAAGACAAGCGAATCCCATATGCTGTTTTGCCTCACGATGCAACTGCAGATAGACCATGTGATGGCACTTGAGAACAGCTGCCAAAGTCACATAATGAAAACGGGCAAGTTAAAGTTCCAATAAAACAAAGGCCGAGCAAGTCGGCTCGAAAAGGTGACCATGGGGTGCGAGGTCGGGGTGCGAGGTCGGGGTGCTGTTGCATAGTACCGAGTATCGAAAGTTATGACACGAGAAATAGCACATCACGGGTTGGAAGTATGCTGAACATCAATTAACTTTTTGGCCGAAATGGTGTGCTCTATAAATAAAATTATCTATCTTGGACCCAATGGATAAAGTTGGCATACACAGCGTGCTTCTGCGGTGTTCTACAAAGCTTGTGGCAAACTGTACAATGTTTTCTTTTTTTTTTTTATTGTAAGGATATTTTGAGGGAGTCCTGAGCTTCTGAAAAGGCAGTGTTTTCCAATGACCTCGTTGGTTCGTGCACAACACATCAGTACCTCAAAGCTGCAAAAAGGTCTTGCTGGATGACAGGCTGTAGTGCACATGCACGAGAGATAGTGGCGTGCTAGGCTAGTTCTGACAGAAGCTTCTGTACACACAACCGGAGGAGCACCAGAACCCGCAGCCTGTCAGCCGGGAGAAGTTCTTGCAGCTTCCCTCGCGCGTTGAACCAAAAACCGTGCAACAACACGAACACGAAAAAAAAAAAAAGTCTTTGGTTAGATTAAACGTGTTTGAAGTAAAATAATCTGGAAGTGAAAAGGCGTTCGGCTGTTTTGGTCAAGCTTTTCATAAATGTTTGGCAGTGTTTGACTCGAAAAGTGTTCTGTCAAATAACAGCCTACCTTCTTTCTTTCTTTTTTCTTTTTTTTTTTTTTTTTTTTCTTTTTTTCTGACAAGCAAAGCAAAGATGGCGCATTACTTCGTTACGTTTGTTCCGTCCTTTTGTCGTACAGTTTCGAGTTCCACGCATGAAGAAAAGCTGCAGATGCCGTTTCCAGCCGACCGCGGTGCTGGCTCCGGTACTCCGGCAGGTCAAAAAGCTTTTGTCAAGACTCATTCTAGCACACCGCACTCTGTCCTGCAAATCTATCCAGCCTTTCGTGCGGCAAGACCAAGGCTCGACGAGGTTGGGCAAGACTTTTTGTCGCTGCGTTGCATTAAAGTGTCGCGCACGCGATTGTACGGGGTTGAGGACATGAGCAAACACCCCTTCGCAAGCCCAGGACTCTGTCACTTCTCCGACCCTCCTCGAGCGGGATTACACTTGTCTTATGCCTCGGGTTAGTAAAGCTAGTGGCACTTCGCGTAAAGCCTATCGCGGTGTTCTGTCTCGTGCGACACATAAGAGCAGCACACAACAATTCTTCTTGTATTAACACGATAGCGCCGCAACCGTAGCGGCATACGTCGCATTGGATGACGGTGCCACTGTGCAGTCGACGAGTCGTTCGGTCTATCCTCATCCTCTCTCGTCTCCCCCTTCCCCGTGAATGCACTTGGGTAGGGATGCCGCGAACTTTTTTCGAATCGAAGTTTCGATGATCGAATCAAGCGGTTCGAAAGGTTCGAAAGATTTCGATTTTTCGAATTGTCTATATCGTAAAATTCGACGGAGGTCGAATTTTCGAACTTGTTAAGCTAAGAAGTTCGACGCTTTTCGAACCGTCGAACTTATTACGCTAAAAAATTCGATCTTTTTCGAACTTTCGAACTTATTGCGCTGCAAGGTTCGATGCTTGTCGAACTTTCGAACTTGACTGACCAAAAAATTCGATAAATGTCGAACTTTCGAACTTATTTATCAAGAAAATTCGAAAAGTTTCGAACTTTCGAAATTTGAAAAGTCAGAAGTTCGACGAACTTCGAACTTTTAGGGTAAAAGTTCGACGTTCGTCGAACTTCGAAAGACCGGCGGCCGGTTTCATTTGATTTCAAGGAGTGGGGTACATTCGTAATTTTTTTTTCTCGAACTTTTACACGCGGTGCTGCGTTCCTTACGAAAGACAATGTCATTTATTTCAATGTTCTGGCATGCTTAGGTTTAAAGAAATAAATCCCCGAAGGGGCGAGGACGGACGACGGGTTTTTGACGATTATCGTTTGTGCCAGATTTGAAGCACGCTGCAGCCGGAGCTATTTACGGTAGATATGTTATACTTTTTTAAGAATGATCTATGTATAGCCTAGGTAAGTGCCGTCTTAAGATGTGATTATTGTTATTCAACGTGAGTTTCGAAGAAATGTCCAAACATGTATCTGCATGCAATTATGACCTAAACTTGATATTTATTTTCGTCTAAGTTGTTTGAGGTATCGCATTTAAATTAGCACCACAGACAGTACATATCATTGCCATCTGCAGAATACAAAATAATATATTTATTGCTTTTTCACGTTAAGGAATAAATTAACTCATTGCAGAAGATTTCTAGTAGTGTTCAAGTTCAGCACGTCATTAAAAGAAAACTTTTTTTTTTTCGCTTCACGTTCCTGGGACGTGTTTCTTTTAGCCTGTACACATTTTGGTAAAAGAAACTTGTTTCGAAGTTCTGAACCTCTGAATATACACGAATAGAACACTTCCGACGAATGCTTGATAGTTTTTTTTTTTTCTCCTGCTTTTTATTCCCGCATTTATTCTTTTTTTTTTTTTTTCTTTTGTTACTATCGGCACAGGTGTTTAGGTCGAAAAGACAGCTTTGAACTTCCGAAGCACTAAGCATGTGACGAGCAGTGCCTTCTGACAACGAGTTTCTAACAGTGACCATCTACGCAACCTTTTATGCAGTGAAGAGCGACAGTAGCTATACATATGCATAAATAATTTCAGATTAAAATAAGCTCGACCACGCCCTCTTTCCCCGTATTGTTTTCTTTAACAGTCCGAAATACCTGCAAAGGGGAGAAAAAGCCTGAAGCCCCCCCCCCCCCCCCCCCCCCGTTTTTCCTCTTCCGACGCCACTTGTATGGTAGAACGCTCCTCGACCTCGAGTTGTGTCGGTTTTTGTGCTTTTTGCGAGGCGATTCCTCCGTCCCAGAAAATAAACCTCCAGGACAATTATAAACTTCACCGGATCGGATTACTACCAGCGTGCAAGGGGTGGCGAGCTAGTTTGCCAGGTCGCTTCAAGGTTTTTCTGAGCCTCAACCTCCTGCTCGCCCCTGGCCGTTTCGAACTGGATGTGTCTCGTTAAACAGTGTGTTCGTGCAATCACTACTGCGTGATAAAGACCCCCCCCCCCCTTCCCCCCCGGGGGGCTGGCGGTCACAATTCTGCACTGGCAAATATTCTAGCATGTCCGGGACACTCGTCGTCTCATTTAATTGCCTTACCAACTTCGCAGAATCTAGATATCACACCCTAACTTTTCTAAACTTGATTTTGTGAAAACAAGTGAGTCGTGAAAACGTTATTTGAAACTGAAACTGTAGAAAAACTTGAAAATCGGACTTCAAACTTTGAAAACTTGGATTAGAAAAAAATTCAAAATCTTCGAAGTTTTTTTTTTTTTTTTTTTTTTTTTAATGTAGCGTTAAAAGAGAATCGAAACTTTCGAACTTTTCGAACTTTAAGCCAAAAGAAATTCGAAATCTTCGAATTGTTCGAACTTCATGTCTATAAAAATTCGAAGCGTTCGAAGTTTTCGAAATTTTTTTACAAAGAATTTCGAAATCTTCGAATTTATCGATCCTGAAGTAAAAAAATATTCGAAATATTCGAATTCAAAATTTTAGAAACCGTGAAAGCTTCGAAATTTTCGGATTCGAAGCTCCGCTGTGGACAAAAGTTGCGAATTTTTCGAAATCGAACCTCGGTCGGTACAAAACTATCGAAATTTTTCGAAATCGAACCTTAGTTCGCTTCGCAAATATTGAAACCTTTCGAAATCGAACCTAGGGTGGTTCGCGACATCCCTACACTTGGGAGGCGGACGATCTGTGTATGTGCCGTTACGCAATCAATTTGTCCGCGAACCGGTCTGTCGCGTGAATTGGCCGGCGCCTTCGACGGCATGTCGGCGGCTTTTTGGACATGAGAACCAGGAAAGCAAACGCACTAAGCAGGGAAATAATAAGTCTGTTAGTGTGGGAGCTCAGTGGGACTGGTGCTTCTGAACATAAAAGCCGGGAAAAAGCAAAAACCGGGAATGTATGGACGAGGTTCCACTGTATTTCGTAATGGTTTCCGTGGCCCTCCGTCACATTTTCCTCGGAAATCCTAGCGTTTAAATAAATTATGCAGTAAAAAAAAAGTTAGAAAACGTAATCACTTTTGAGGCTAATAACAGCTCATCTCTCTCGTGAAAATGTCCTTTTATAGGAAAAATTGTTTCCTGTAAAATATACTCAATAATTTTCAGCTTAACTACTCCTGAGTAGAAACTAAACACTCCTTTTAAAGCACTGCTTTTAGAGCTTTTCTTTTTTTAGTTGTGATCCTGTAAAATGTGAAATTTTCACAACATTTCTACACTAACAATTTGATGTTTTCCTAAATTCTTAAAAATTGATGCAAGGTTATGTGAAAAAAAAAAATTCATACATTGAAATCAGAAAATAAATGTATCTTTGCAAACTAGAAGATTTACAGAATCCAAATACTGTAAACGACTTATATTTTGCAAGCTCAATATTTAACGATTTAGGTCAAAAGCTGGAGTTTTGGAATAATTCGCAGGTTCTAATTTTCGCAACGTGGTGGAATCTCAATACTTTATATTGCAATGTGTTTATATTTTACCGGAATTGTTTACGAAACTTATTTTTCACAAAATGTAGGCAATTCGCGAAATTCGCAAAAACGCAAAGATTAGGTCATTTACAGTATCCACAAATGAATGCTCTAGGTTGGTTCCCATGTTTTTTTTATGACAATTTTGAATTTTTTCATTTAAAAATACTGGTGCCCTATTAACATATTTATACATTCAATACAACTGTTATACACACACAAAAAATATTATGAAGATTGGCTGAGAATAAGCAATATATCTTCCATAAAGCAGCAAAATGTCTAAGCAGGTTATTCTGAGTTAGCAGAGATAAACAGACCCATTTTACGACACCTTAAAATTAATTATTTCAAAATAAGGACCTGATTGAAAAAAATATTTTTGGACAAGATGAACAGTGCCGGTAAATTTTTGTAAACACAATGCCAAAACTGATTTTTAGTGCTTCATTACATCAGAGTGGTAGCAGGCACATAGCCAGGATTTTGTTTCGGGGGGCCCGCCCATGACAAAATGCTGTATGAGGGGGAAGGGGAAAGGAGGTCCCAGCAAAATGGAAGATTTTGGGGGGGGGGGGGGGGGCCGGGCCCCATGGGCCACCCCCCTGGCTACGTGCCTGAGTGGTAGCCCCCTGAAGGAAGGACCAGCCTTGCTGTTCTAAGTTAACATCTCAAGCATATTGGAGTTGTAATGCCTGCACTTTTTTCAGTTACTAAGGTCTATTAAAGCAAGCAACTTACTTTTCAAGCTCTGCTGCTTTACTCTTCAGGGCCATGTTCAGGAGTGTTCGCTTCATCAAGCTGCCACTGCATGCAGAGATCACCTTAAAAAAAAAAAGGAAAAAAGACAAAATTGCTTACAATATTAGGCATTGCTACACCTTTCTAGTATAACACCCTCACTTAGTGATTCTAAACTGACGGGTGGTTCTGCAGTCGTCATCTATGCCTGTTTTCACCCTAAGAACAGTAGTAAAACCATTCCAGCTCCTCGTGGAGCAGTACTAATTTTCCCCTTTATGGGGATAATTAAGATATATGTAGGTGAATCTCAGATTATGTATATGTCATCATATCAAGACGTTCCAATTGCTAAAAGCATCGCTTTCTCTCCCAAGAACCGAATCTCGTAAGAACTACTTACTTTGTGCTATGTATGAACAATGTGCAAAACTTGCTTTTTTCTTGAAGTGGAAATGGGCATAGACTTGGACATTAATGTATTGAATCATGTAAGGTGGCACTTTATTTCAGTATGAATTTTTTTTTTTTTTCATTTTTTTTTTAATTTGACATTTTTAGCTGTTCTCTTGTTTCTCAATGTTCGAGCTTTCTATGGAACACGCATCCTGGCTGCACCAGCATTCGTATTAGCCAGAAGAGCTGCAAAGCTATGAGCTCGAGTCTCCAGAAAAACGACAATCAAGACATATTTGACACATAACATCAGAAAGCGTGAAGCCTCCCCCTGCCTTCAGTTTTGCAGTGTTGTGTGAATCATGTTACTATTATTAAGATGGGCTGTCTGTCTTTATTTTGTCTTTTATGGGTAATTATTTGCCCTTTTTTGCCTCTTTTTGAAAGTATCCCACAGGCTGTGCAAATAAATTATTGTGGAAGCTGTAACATTACAACTAGAGGAAACAAAAAGGTTCTAGCTCTGAAACTCGCATCTACACGCCGAGAAACCGAGGGATTGGAGGAGACGGGAGTGCGTTGGGATGTCACGAATCCTGAGCTCCGATAGGAATAATCAGTGGGTAGACCTAAAGCTAGCTGCCTTTGTCGAACGCGCTGGAATGCGAGAGTGAAATGCTAGACGCCGGTGTTTCGCATTTTATTGCGTTCGACGAGTGCAGTGGAGGCAAAGACTGCCTTTGTTTCCACTGGACTTGTCGAATGCGTTCGAATGCGAAGGCCAAATCTAGGACGCTGACGTTGCACACTTTGACGCATCAACGAGTGCAGTGAAGAGAAAAGAAGCTAGCGTTAGGTCTAGCCACAACTCATTCCAACCAGAGCTCGACGTTCCCGACATACCCACGCAAGCTCATCTCCTCCTCTTCCTCAGTTTCTCAGCACATTAAAACCTGAATAATAAACACTCTACTACAGATTACAATATTTTCTGAGCATTAATTTAGTTCAATAATGATTTTAACGCCTCATTAACAATTGCACAGAGCATAAAAAGGAAGTCATTAGTCATTAAAAAGAAGCAAAATAATCAGTGGGGTTGCACCTCAACCAAGGTTTGATAAAAAAAACTCAAGCCTAGTTATTTCGAAGTACTTTTACAACTGAAAGACAAAAATAAAGAATGCTTGAGGCCTCCAATTTTATAAGTTTTCCATATATATATACTACGACTCAAACCTAAATTTTTTTTTCTTCTTTTTTTAAACAAAAGTTATTATAACAAATATTACCTTAGGTCTGGGCTCTGCCATATTAATGCTGATACAAGAAAAATTAACGCATGTGTAACATGGGTTCCTGTTTTTCACAGACAATGATAGCGAAGAGCATTATTGGTCCCGACTGGCAAAAAGACACGAAAAGCCATATTACACTTGGTTCTTACTCATTTCACTGTAAATATTATGTTGAGATTCATGTGGCAGACTGTCTTAGTAGAAACAATGCCTTTTTGGGTAAGCATTCATTTCACAGGAGAGTTTAATTGAATCAAGCACTTAACTACTAACTGCTTTGTGTGATTAAAACACCAGACAAAGCAACAAGAATGTTACATCGAGAGTTATCCTTTTTGTTTAACAAGCTTCACTGCAGCAGTTGCTTTTGACAGACCGGCTAATTGGCGAAGGACAGAGCGGGAATATCTGCGAGTGGTAAGTTTAGGTATGAAATCAAAGGGAAAACCAATTGTGTTACACTGAAATAGTGTTAGAATAAATTAGTTTGGAAACAAAACCTAACCTTATTGCCCAGAGGCTGAAGGCTGCAACAAAGCTACAATTCCCAATTCAGTTAAGGAAAATTATTTGTATTGACTTGGGAGAATTCTAAATTCAGCAAGTGGGCACTATATATATATACATATCACTTTAAAAAAATCTAGCGGAACTAATTAAGGTAATTCACTACCTTCCATTCCTCCACTGCCAAAGCTATTTTTTTTTTCAAGTTTTATTGACATCACTGTTATATAGGTTAAAGCCAGTATAGTGAAAATAACTAATAGCAGGATTTGAAAAAAAAAAAAAGAAAAAGAATATCAAAGCTATTGTGCAATTTAGGTACACGTTCAAGGTTGTTAAAAAAATTGTGTTGGTAGAACCAAGTTTCATTCAATCTCGAAATTGAAAAACAAAGTCACGACCAATGATGCACGCTACTTGTCAGGATATTGCAGAATATTGCATGCTGGTGGAGGTTTCATTGTGACAATTTAACTACAGAGCAAGTTGTCACATCAGAAATCCCCAGAAGCTTCCTTTTTCTTTTTTTTTTTTTTCCCAGTACCAGACATGTGCACATGGACTATACCGCTCTCGAGGACTGTGCTTTCCCTTACCAAGCAGCTGTGCTGCGGCAAAGGAAGCCATGCAAAAGCGCCGTGTGAACATCATGGCCGCTTCTCCTCCACAATCCACAGGTGCGCAGTGAGAAGCACACTTAAACGGATATAAGTAATTTGCATGAACAAACCATGAAGTATGAGAAGTGTGGCAGAACTCCCGAGTACTGCCGATATTCAACACGAAAATAGAATAGAATATTGCATTATTGTTGGCAATTATCGAAAGTTCCGAAAATTCGCAAAAACCCACCATGTCAATCCAGCGGTGCAGAGGGGCCCAAGCTGTTAGTTTCAGCAAAGCGAAATTACATTTTGGTGCAATGTTGGTGCCAATTTCTTATATTTGGGTGAAATGTAGCAGGATGCAGCAGGATAGGCACTCTGGCACACTTTGGTGCAGCAATCACATCACTGCTTTTAGACAAAGCAAAAGCTCAAGCAACATGTAGAACGCTAAGTATAATATGCTCCCCACAACTACACTAGAGCAAACTTTCGGACCCGTGCTGCCGCAGCTTGTGCACACCCTTTGCAGTATGTGCCAGCACTCACTTTGTCGTGGATCCTGTTCAGGAGACGCGGAACGGTGGGACTGATTGTGGGCCTTAGTGCTTTCATGTCTTCCCCAAGCTCCTTGATGTCTCCACTGAAGAAGCCCACCCTGCCACCAATCATGTAGATTGCCATCTGCAAAATGAGTACAAAGTCAAGCTCCCATCGCAAGATTATGGCATTACTGTTTGAAACCTGCATTATAATAACCCTGAGGCGTATTTAAAATATATACACTGTAGAGCCACTTGAATCTGCCTTGAGAGAGGCTGACCAGTTCAGCACAAAAAAAGGTTTCTGATACGGGTACACTCAAGTAGCTGAAACTGCATGTAGGGCTCTTGTAAACCATTAGACTGTCAGCGAAAACCCTGGCTGATCAACTGATGCACAGCATCTTTGAGCTTCACAGAAAGCTGCGATAACCGGTAGTTGTAGATTGTGCCCATTCAAGAAACACTGTTTTCAGACATGTCAAATAGACTCCGTTAGAATTTTTTTTTTTTTTTTAACTGAAGCATTATTGATTTGCAAGAAAAGGATATATGTGTGAAGAAACAGGGCTGCTGAAGATTATTTATGCTGCAAAAAAAGCTTACTGTATTATGTTGGCAAGCCCCGCAAGTTATTTGTTTTGCTTAGTGCTCATGCAGTAGGGTACATGCTCATACAGTAGGAACAGGGTGCTCTTGCCAAATGAACACTGTTGCAGCAGTGCTTTGTACAAAAGCAAGACTGAACAAGTTCTTAAAGTGATAGCTTTAAGGAGTTTAAGTCGCAGGAAAGGCGGCATCGGCATCAGTGGAACCGGAAAAACTTGATTGGTCGATAAGCGATTCATTTGCCTTAAAGAAAAAATTCAAAGAATTTTAGGCGAAGCGGGATTGAACCTACAAACCTTCGGTTGCGAGCCAGACACGCTCCCGACTAAACCACGCAGACACGCTTGCACAGCTTGGAAACGAGCGGGAATTTATATTTAGCTATCACATTCCACTCTTAAAGGCAAAGCTTTAGCGTACTCCTGTAATTCTTGTAGACTAGAGTACATTAGGCAAAGTAAACTTGAAAACAGCATTAATTCCAGTGAATCTACTTTAAAAAAAAAGTATATTAGACATACCTCGCAGCATCGTTCTAGCATATGTGCCAGAGGAAGAAAGGACATCATCACATCATCACCTTTAGGGGCAAGGTCACCCTGCAAAAAATTAGTTCCAAATAAAATTTAAACATTTCCTCTAAAAATTTAAAGCATATCCACATTCAGTGAGGGTACCCAATGTTTTCAAATAAAGCTATTGAAGGAATAAGATACGAGTTATAATACCAGAGTGGACAGCCAGCCAACAGGTGCATCAACAAAACGCAGAATAACTTTACGTCTTGCAACAAAACATGAACTACACATGGGATAACAAACACTGGCATGCAGTAAAAATATTTGTGGAGTGAATGCAATGACAGTTCATATGGATAACTTGCAAAAAGGTTCTGTTCAAGCATGGTCCAAACTATCCACAAGGCTATGAGAAATTAATTACTCACCAATTGGTACATGACAGCAGAGAGGTCAGAGATGATGTTGAGGTGAGTCAGCATCACACCCTTAGGGTTACCGGTGGTACCACTTGTATAGCACACTGTGGCCAAATCAGATGTGTGGGGAGGCTTTAAAGAAAAAAGGAACTATGTCAACTTTGACCAAGAAGATACCCCAGTTGCAAGCTTTCTAGCCGAGGTTAACAACCCAGAGATTTTTGTGAGGCCTACCCCAGTGTTTATGGCTTTTTGAATTGAGCAGCATTGCATGTTTTATCTGGGTCAGTGGAGTATAACACCATAGGGTACCTAATAGTACTGCCTTTGTTCATGGTAACATTAGAGGAGTAAAGTATGTGCCTGCTACTTCTTATCAGATGGACTTATGTATTAACATTAGTTTCATGCATTCCCTTCCAAGATTCAAAACAGAAGTATTATACCATGTTGCTGGAATCACAGTCAGTCAGATATTTTAGTTCAGCAAGCAGGACAATTTTAATTATTGCATATTAGAACATGCAAACACTTAGGTGCAGAAGGAGAAGAGGATACGGTGGTGATTAGGCAGAGCAGTTGGAGCAAGAGTTTTAAATAATTTACCACTCTAATTGCCTTTTTATTTTCACTAAATTTGTACCTAACAAAAAGTTATAGATCAGTACTGATAGAAAATATTTAAAGGACACTGGACAGTAGATCAGTTCAACCTAACTTGGAAAAATACCAAACCAAAAACCAGCTCACCAGAGGATGCCTGAAGTTCTTCTCTCCAAGCTCCTGGAATTTAAGAGATTGAAACTTTTAGTTAAACAGACAACAAAAAAAAAACTTGCCTCCTGAAATAAACAACTGCTCAAGTCTCCCTCGAGACTTGCTCAAATTATTTAGTTCAAGTCATTGCTATGTCAATGGTACTTTTCAGTGATGAAACTATACTCGGGGACAACTCCCCGAGTACAATCAAAGGTACAGGCATGCATGCTCTCACATTTCGAGCACTGATTAAAAATGTGCTTGTGCTTTCCTGCTTTCCTCAGAAATGCCAAGAAAAGTTTTCCTCGAGTACAGTGCTGGTATTAGTTGTAAAATTTTCCGTGCCACATCCAAGGTTTTGTGGCCCCAGAGGAGAAGTACTTATCAATCCTTTTTGCAATAAAATACCTAGAGCATGTACCAAAAACTGACATATATCCCTTGCTATTTATGAACATGAGCTTGTTCTAAGAATTAGTATAGTAGATAGCTAAAGTTTGGAAGTGGAAACGTGTGTGCTTTTCTGGATAATCTTTGTAATAGCAGAGGGTGTGTTTACTTCTAACATATACCTATTGACCTGCTTGGTCTCACTGCTTGCAGTATATTCAAAATAAATAATTTTTCTTTCCATTCCTATTCATAAGCAAAACTGTGCTGCTTTTATATATTCGCATACCGGCAAACCTGTGGACTTTTAAATTTGTAAAACTTCCGCGGCCGCGCGGGGGAGGGGCGTTCACGCAAAGCGACGTATTAATGCCACCGTGCGAAATGCTTACATCACACGTGCACGTTCTACAGAATCCAAACTTCACTCCCTTTTTGGACAGCACGAAGCACGGGAATTCCGACATGTAGAACTTCAGGAACACCTTAAAGTACCTCTTTCGAGGTCTGGAGCCCGCCATTGCGCCGCGAGGCCACCATGACCAGGGGAATGCCACGATTACACGTGCAACGAACACAGACGCTGCACTTCCTTGTTTCGAAACTGGCCAAAACAGAGAGGCCCAACCACGTCTGAGCACACCGAACCAACGTACGCCGCCAAACACACAAACAAAGGCTATGGGCTTTGAATTGGTTTGGGTCCGTGGCCACCGGATAGATGAATAGTAAAAACCACGACGCTGCCATGGACGGTACCTATAGCCCTCTTGTGGCGGTGCAAGATACCGCCAGCAACATATTAACAAACAAAAAATGTAAAAGAAAAATGAAAAAAAAATTATAATTTTTTTTCTTTTTTTTTGTTAAGTTTGAAGCAAGATTTGTAAAATCTTGCTTCAAACTAGTTCAGCAATTCATATATAAAATGTATAAAAAAAAGTTTTGGTACAAACCTCGAGTTCCGAGAACTTCATGAGCATGATGTTTGCCTCTTGGGCCTTCTGCTTGACGTCCTCGGAAACGTCCTTGATGACGACGATGCGCTTCAATTTGGGTGTTTGTGACGCTTGCTTTAGAAGGCACTCAACTTTCTCCTGAGTATCACAGACGACTGTCTCAATGTCAGCTGAAAGGATGCAAGTGAAAAGCAGGGTGAGATAACATCTGCAGAGAAACCATTCTAAGGTATGCCAGCATCGTATTCATGAAAGACTGCCTGGTCCCACACTATCTGAAACTAGACATCTTGTCGGAGGGTTAATTCCAAAATGGTATAAACTTGCGAGAAAATAATCTGAAAAAATAACACAAGATGAAATAAAAAAATTGCCAATTAGTGATAATGCTAAAAATGTGTTTAACATAGCAAACCATTCAATGCTGAAGTGTGAGAATATTAAGAAACAAAAATTCATGATTTTTTGCATCATTGCAGTGAAAAACCAACGTTAAAATACATATTTTAACACATACCTTGGTTCATGATGAAAGCACATGCAGGAGCTCCCAGAGTGTCATACAGTGGCACAATGATCATGGAGAAGTAGTAGCAGGCCTGTTCTGTGATAATCCACTGCAAGCAAAGCGCAATATTTAGGCTAATGGGATCTCCTGCAATGCCGCAAGCTCAAGATATCACTTTAAAAGTTTGCACCACACATAAATCCTTTGAAAAACGCTATACATGACTATTTTTCAAAGCGCAGCTCTTCGGCGCCAGTTTCCGGCTTGAGCAGCGTCGCCGTCAGCGTAATCATGCGGTGCATTATGGGAAATGTTCCATAATGCACCGTGCAGGACCCTCGTGAAGTCACGAATGTCCCGCGCTGTGCATTATGGGACATTTCCCATGATGCAACGTACGGCGAGGAGGAAAAGGGGGAGGAGAACAGGAAGAGGGGAGGGAGAAAGGAAGGGAGGAGGAGGAGGGGAAGAGAAGGAAAGAGGGGAAGAGGAGGGAGGAGAAGAGCTCGAAGGATGAGGGGAGGAGTAGCAGGGAGGATGAGGAGGTGAGGAGGAGTGAGGACGGATATACCCTCCACTCAGTACCCTTCCTTCCTCCTCCTCAAGAGCTGCGCTCAAATTCGGCGTTACAGGGGCCGTATTACAAAATTTACTCAATCTTACTCCAGGGTAAGGATTTTGTACCCTTGGCATTCTGAAACCTACCCGTATCCAGCGTTTTTCAATCTGTGCTGTCACATAATACAGTCCGCCAGAGTAACTCTGATCCAGTTGGGTAAGATTTGGAACACAGCCAGAATGTTATAAACGTCTTTAATTTTTTTACACCTACTGCCGGCCCATGGGCCGTGGCAGGGAGAAACAACATATAACAAAACAATACAGCTCATACCTTCAATACAACATTCAAAGAATCACGTGATATATACATACTTAACTTCAAAGACAGTGAAACAAGAAAAAATAACACCGAGGCGATATGCTTATGTTTTAAACACAATAAAAGAGTCTAACAGCATCCTCAAACATTAAAATATTGTTGTGATTTACAATATGCTCGGGAAGCTTATTCCAATCGTTAATCGTATTTGCAAAAAATGAATATGTAGTTGAAAACATCAATTCTGGCCATATATGACTGCAATGCTTTCGAATGATTTAGTCCAGCCAATCTGTTGGTAATGCTCCCAAGATAAATGTCGCAGTTGATCTTTACTTGGCCATGATAAATAAGAAACAAAAGCTTTAACGAGCAATTTTTCTCCTAACCGCTAAAGATTCAAGTCCACAAACATTTAACATTTCTGTCGCAGAGGACGTTGATCTGTAATTTGAAATTATAAAACACGCTGCCTTCTTTTGTATTCTCTCAAGCCTGTTTATGTCTGTTTTGGTTGCGGGGTCCCAAACGACCGAAGCATACTCTAGAGTAGGTCGTATTAAGAGTTTTGCATGCTGTAAGTCTTATTTTCTTATTGCTATTTTTAAGTTTATGTCTATAAGCCATAAGTATACTTTAAGTTCTAAAATATGTACTGTAAGGCCCTAACTTTTTAAATGCTACAACTATCGAAATCTAGCAAAGGAAGAGCCTATAAACTGCATAAAATTAAAATGCTTCCACATGAATAAAACTTGACCGTACTGCAGACATAACAGAAAAGATATGGGCAAGCTGGTAAATTTTCAATGTTGTGAAAGCATTTTGCGTTCCTCGGTCTCGGATTTCGACATCACGTTAGCCCGCCTTGTGCAACTTGTAAGCCAGCTTGTCTACATCTCTAATAAACCAGATGTTCAAAGTGCAAGCCCTTAAATTTCCAAACTGCTTCTGACGTGCTGTAAAATACCAAGTATGTGTCCATGTCACAACAAGCACCCACTCCCTTCTTTACAAACATTTGAAGTATAGGCAATGGACATATCAAGCGCCCACCCGAGCAGTCTTCCGAGGTGCACCTCCGTGGTGGCTGCTTCTCCGAGAAGACAGTGCAAAAAGGAAAGACTTTGTGCGTGTGGCGGTGAAATGTGCTAAAGCTCAAGGCCAGAGCTCCAGCACAAAGCAAACTTGATGAGAGCGTCGCACTTGCTTAGAGCCCTGTACTGCTCTTATATCCCCCCTCTGTTGGATCAAACAAGAGCCTACACTACCATGTGCGCCTTTTGCTTTCTTGCTTTTGAATCTCAGTTTTGTGTGGGCCCTTGCTCGGTATTTTATGGTATGCAAGCCAAGTCTAGAGAGCTATCGACTCGCACCTTTGGCAAACAATTAACCCAATATTACAATTTTAGCCAGGCGGGTCATGGCACTGAAAGAGTTAATACCCATTCTCAGGAAACCAGAGGACATCTTACCTCAACGCAGTTTTGTGTGTACAGGCCAATGAATGTCTGTTGGCCGGGCTTCTCTCCCAACTTGACAAGACCACATGCGATACACTTAATCCTCTCGAGGACCTGCAACCCAAACGCAAAAAGAAAGTTTGTGCAATTGAAGGACACTTCAAAGCAAAGTAAGAGGAATAAGTATAGTTTTCATTACAAACATAGAATAGGATAGGAGCCATCTGGCCTTAGTATTCACCTGGTTATAGTGAATCCACTTGTATTCGCCAGAGCCGGGGACTCTCCAGCCCATGCATGGCCCATTGTCTGAAGAAAATGAAAAAATTTAATTGGATATCGCAACACCTATGGACATTGTATCTATAAAAAATGGAACAACTCAAAAAGACTCTGGAGTAATTTCTGTCTATGTAGTGAACTGATTTTTGGGAACATATGCTAACATGTCAGAAAAATTCAACTTCCTGATATTTGCATTGCGTTAGAAGCTGAAAGTAAATTGAATTTACAAACAAAGATTTCATTGTAGGAGGAGGCTGGAAATCACAGTTTTGCACATTTATTTTCTACTTTTTATTTTGGCTGTTTTTCCTGCTTTGCAATTCCATCACCTGCATACACACATTCCACTTCATGAGGCTCAATACACTAAAGTGAGCCTAAGGTTTGACAAAAAAAAAATTGTTTGTTTAATCTTACATTTTACATTTGTGTAGTATGCACCATAAAAGATGCGGATTGCCATAGAAAATAGAAGGTCCCAACTGATTGCAGGGTCACTACAAAGTCAATGAAAATCAACAACTAAGGAGCAAGCTTAGTTGTAGGAGGTGATCAGCAAGGCCAAGTCAGTGAAGGAACAAGCACTGGGCCCTTTTTAAATTGTCATTTACGCTCAGCATGTCAAAATATTAAAATATATGACTGCGATAACAAATTTGAAAAAGAGGAGTTCAAACGGAGAGATAAAACATGCGCTTACTTGAGACCCGAGCTCCTCTGTACATGACGTCAAACAATGTCCTGCAGTCTTCATAGAGGTACTCAAGATGCTTTCCATCGTGGCACAGACGAGACGTCCTAATTCTTTCAAGACCCTGGGGAGAAAGGATAAGCAGGGTTGGACATTGGGAAGCACAGCTAGATGCTAGTAAATAGAAAATTATATGAAAAAAAAAAGTGAAAACCATGGCTTATTTTTTTTCTATGTGAAACTAAATAACAGCCCCTTTTAGTTATCGGCTAGCTTTATATCGTAGGAAGCTTTAGCTTTCCTAGAAGATGTCCCAGACATGAGGCCTCCACACTGACGTGCTTAAGTGCACAGTACTTCAAAAAATTCCAGCTTTTACTTTGGAAAGCAATGTAAGAACCAGATACGATACTGAAAACAAAAACCCAATCTAGTTACTGCTCTCCAATTTTTTTTTAAACTGAGGGAGCAGCACAATGTAATTGGGCACAAGCAAAAAGAAACTTGGAGCAAAAAAAAAGTTCCAACCTTGATCCATTTGTTTGCTCTAGTGTGCAACTTAATAAGAGTCCACTTTAGTTATCAGCCAGCTCTATATCACAGGAAGCGTTAGCATTCCTACATGGCATCTCAAACATTAAGCTTCTACACTGGAGATAAATATGCTCAAACCCACAGCACTGCAAAAAAATCCCAGCTTTTATTTTTGACAGCAATATGAGAACTAGATAAGATACTGAACACAAGAGCACAATCTAGTTACAGCTCTTTAATTTAACTAAGTGTACAACACAATGCAATTGTGTATAAATAAAACAAATCTTAAAGGAAAAAAATCAACATTGATTTACTTTTTTATCTTAGAGTGCAACTAAATAACAGCCCACTTTAGATATCAGCTAGATCCATATCACAAGAAGTGCAAGTCTCTCTACCTGGATATGGCCTTCCACATTGGGGATAACTTCTCAAGCATGCAGTTCAAGTACATTAAAACACTGCAGCTTTTACACTAAAGAGCATTGTCAGAACATGACAAGATATAGAAAACATAAGCCCAATCTAATTACATTTTGCCAATTTTGTTTAAAAATTGTTCAGCATATTGCTATTTCAGGTTAAACAATAAAGTCATCCAGCACATAAAAAATCAGCACAAAAGCGGTCCTTATTGCCCTGACAACTAGATCTTATCACGTAAAAACAAAAGCACAGCAAGAATAAGCATCTTTTAACTCATCAAAACTTTGTTAAGTATTTAGTCAAGCAGTATACAGTCATTCTTCTCTTCTGCAACTTGTGATAAAAGAGCAGGGGATCTATCATTTGAAAAGTACCTCAACATATTTACATTGCCATCAATCAGATGGGGACTCTCAAATGCTGTCCTGACTGAAACTCCCCGGGGGAATGTCAACAGTTTTAAATACACTAGTAGCTTGTCTTGCAAAGAGGTAAAAGATTTAAGGGGCACCAAGGCTATAAAGAGGGAATTTTTCTAATCTCTGAATTGCAGAGCTATAAAAAGAGCAAACAAATTCCTTCAAATTTTTGTTTGTTAAAGCAATAAAACAAAAATATTAACTCCTGAGGAAACCATATTTGAGCATATTGGAGTCTATTTCATGTGTGCTCAAAATTGCAGGAAAACTGAACAACTTTTTTCCAAGAAAACTAATTGTAATTTTCTCTTAACAAAAAATTAAAAAAAAAAAAAAAAAATCTCAGTACCTAGCTGCTGTTGTTGGTTAAAGCTTCAAAATACATTTTAATACATTAGTTTCAATATTTATACTTTTATAGTTTAAAAGATTGGTGGCATACATAGAAACTAGAGCTATACTATGCTGGACTAAAAAGAAATCATTCACATACTTAATTCATTCCCTAGCCTCTTCCCCAAGCCGAACAAAAATCTACGAGAGCCGATGCATGTGCTCTCGCATGTTCACACCCACAAAGCTTTTTGCAATTTGTGAGTAGGACATGAAAGCACAAATGTAAGCTCCAGGTACAGCAACTATCTCATAAAGTCAAAAGAGAGGAAAAGAAGAAATGGTGCATGAAAGAGCACCCCTTCCAGTGTAATTGAAAGAACTTGGTTCCCATCTGAAGGCTTACCACAAACTAATTGAGTTACTAAATCAAATTACTAAAACCCTGCAAAATATGATTCCTATAATGGAGTTGAGTCAGGTTTTGACTTCATGCTTTAAAGTCAAGCTAAATATAACAGTAGCCCATCATTTCGAGCGGAAGTGAAAAACCCGACCTGTGAACACAACCGAAGTGGTTATGTACATACATGTTTGAAGGAACCAAATAAATCTCATGGTGCTAATTTGATGGTAGTAATCACATTCCTGCTCTATTGTGTTTGCACAAGATTTCTCCCGCAATCCACCTAGAAATTAACCGTACAGTAGAACTTGCTATGTGTCTGCCGACCAGTGGCAAATACAGGGGGGGGAGGGGGGGGGGGGGGGGGGGGGGGGGGCAGGTGGTGCATAAGTTGTTTTTACAGCGGAGCTGTAAAACAACTTATGCAGCGGAGCTGTAAAACAACTTAATAGCTCTGCTGTATTTACAGCGGAGCTGTTAAGGACTAGGTTCCCGAGGATCGTGTCCGGTACAAAACACTTGTCGACAAAAACGCCTCTCGACATCTACCGCCATCTATAAGCGACGGCCGCAAGCACATAACCAGTATGGTTGCCTCCGTCGCTCGGAGATGGCGCCAACCTTTCCAGCTATCTAGAGTTCCTGTATAGCTACCTACGGTAGCAGAGTTGCGCATTCAGCCTCGGCGCGTGGCCGTAGCGCCGGCTTTCCCGCACGAGCTGGATGCTTTGCTCCTCACGTGACTAAATTTGGCGAATAGCGGCGCCGCGCGCGCCGCCGCGCATGGAAAACAGGAGAGGAGGAAAAGGAGGCGGAAAGCAGGGAAACATACGCCGGGGCAAGAGAAACGTCGGTGGAGCGACCGTAAAGGTGGCTTTCTTGCACGCCAACGGATGCTTTGCTCCTCACGTGATGGATCTCGGCGAATAGCGGCGTGGCGGCGCGGGGAAAACAAATGCGCAACTCTGGCTCCCGTAGGGAGCCTATACAGGAACTCTACAGCTATCATAGAAGAATGGACAGTTGGGCGGCGCGTTGGTGGCAATTCATCGTAGGAAACAGCGCGAAAAACAGATGACGACAAAAAAGAAACATACGTAACGAGCGTGGCGCTCATCACGTGTGTTTCTTCGTCCTCGTCTGTTTTGCGCGCTGTTTCCTGCGCTTTTATCAGTCTCGGTTTGGACTTAGAATGGGTCGGCCGCGCGCCCTTTCGGGGAAAGAAGACTGGCTGCGGAAGGAGCGGCGACGTACGCAGCAGCGCGAATGGGTCCGTAGCCGCCGCGCGCTTCAGACTCCCTTACCAAAGAAGAGCACATCGCTCGCCTGGAAAGCCGCCGCCCAGAACAGAATCAGCGATGTAAAGGGCGCCGGCGGGCTAACGCCACGGATGACGATCGTGCCACGGAGGCCAAGCGCAAGCGCGAGGCAGCACGGCAACGACTGCACTCTACGCTGGCTGAACATTTTCCGGGCGCGACGGCGATGTTCCGGACATAGAGATCATACATACTAACTCTAGAGGAAAAGGTCCGCCATTTTCCCATACATTCTGGCTGCCGCTAGCGGCGGATCATGCAGGCAGACCTTCTGGGTCCCAAACACGGTTACATCATCAGAGCAGTTTCGTGAACTTCAACAATTCACGAACTTACCGGTGGAAAGATATTCACGTTCCTTTCGAAGCTTTCTTTTTGAAAAGCGCGCAGATGTACGGCCTCGCGTTAACGCTAAACTAAACCATATACCCGGCCTCGCCAGTGGGGCGCAGCTGGGCGCAGTTGAGGAATACGAAACTGCGCAACCACCAGATTTCCGAGATTCCGACAGAAGGGAAGTTAATGCAGCGTAATGAGTTTATTGCTTTTTATAAGCGTTAGAATAGCTCATAATTTAGTTTACAACGTTAAATTATCACTTTTTATATTGCTAAGAGTTTTCACTCTTCGCGTTACCATGGCAACGTTGCTTTCTTTCTCTCGTGTTCTGTCGTTCTCTTTCGCGATCTTTCACTCGGGACCCAGGATGTCGGCGCACGGGATTTGCCACTCCTCCTCACCCACCTTTACCCCCCTGGTTCCGGATGAAGTTCGTGGATCACCCGTTTGGCGTCACGTTCGCCGGAGATGTATCGAGGATCGGCGGCGTGTCGGACGAGAAGCGGGAAACGGGCGCGTACACGTTGCGGCAGTGTATCGAGTACACTGCCGCTGATTTTCCTTCACGAAAGTGGAAAGGCTGAACTTTTTTTTTTTTTGTACTTTTCTAGAAAAGTACAACTCCCGACTTCAAGGTACATTCCCCAAATTTGGTTTTGTTAACTTCGTATCACGAAATGTGGCTTTGTCAACTTTGAAGACATACTGGGAGGGATATTCTATTCCCACCAGAAATGCGAGCAGACAATGGGCATCACTTTGTTCTGGGGGCGGCTTTCTCGCAGTATTTCGAACTCTCGCTACTTCTCGCTCAGTCAGGGCAAGCGAGGAGGAGAGGAGAGGACACTTCTCCCCGAGAGGATTGCTTGCGGAAGCTACGGGGCTGACATCGTGCCCTAGTACATTTAACCCCCTTGGGTACAAGCCAGTGCAAGCAGCGCCAAATTCAGAAGTCGGAGGGGCTTCTGAATTTGGCACAATTTTTGAAAATGACTACGCTGTGACTACTTGACTTCACTCACTATTCACTGCCACTTCTGAAAATAACTCATGCATGCACCTTCAATTAACGCAAAGCAATTATACCAATTAAAAAAACTGCTCTTGAGAAACAGGTTGTTCTGCACTTTGGTGGCATTCAAGATCTGTATATAAGGAGGGCAATTAAATAAAAATTTTAACCGAGTTAGACATTGTCTGTCCCAGTTTCTTTTTCTGCTACTGTTAATATATGTTCCTCCTACCCAGTCTCAGTTAAATTCATCAAAGTAAACTGTATAGGGGAATGAAAGGGCATCATAAAAGTGTTAAAAATACTTTTACTTTATACATAATGAGAAATACACAGCGCAAAAGGACAAAAAGGAAAGAAAGGGAAAAGGGTGTATCTCTTCCCTTTTTTTTCCTTTTGCGCTGTGTATTTGTCATGTATAACCGAAACCAACTAGCCTAACTTTCTACTTTATTACTTTTACTTTACTTTGAAAGTACATTGTATTTATAACAGTTTACTTCAAGTACGTTGCACCCAGTTTACTTGTTACTTTAATTGAAGTGCATAACCTCTCACTTACTTCGTGCTTCAAGTACTTTTTAAGGTACGTTTATACTCCAACGTAACGTCGACGGGCGCGGCGTAGCGCAGCGCGCACAGATACTGATTGGTCGCACATATCGAGTTCCTGGTTGCCGGCCAATGAAAGGCGCGCGTTCTGCGCTACGCTGCGTTCACTGCGCTCAACGTCAGAGTATAAACAGCCCTTTAGATGTACATTACCCAACACTGGAGTTCCCGGCATTCCTTTCGGCACTGCACGTTTCGCAGCAGATCTTTTGGCTTGGCTTGTCTAGGAAGCACGGGATAGACCGATCTTATACATTCTTTGAGTATGTACTGGTACCTCACTAAAAGTACTTCTTTCTGGTACTTTCCAAGTATAGTACAACTCCCGACTTCGAAGTACGTTCTCCCAATTTGAACTTGTTATATTTATATTACTGAATTATGTATTTTGAACCCTGAAGCCCCTCGACTTTATCTAAGATTCACCACCATTTCCAAAAATAACTGAGGCACCCACGATTACTCCTGGGGCAACGCAAACCAGTTAAAAAACCATTGTATAGGGCAGGGTCTCAAACTCATCCGAATGTGGGGGCCAGATAGCCTACCCCAGAAAGACAAGGGCCAACGGGAACAAGGGGGTGGGAGTGGACTAGAGTGGAAAAGGGGGGGGGGGGGGGGGGGGGGGGGGTGAATGTTAGGCAGTTTTCGGACAAAGAAAAAAGGAAGAAACAACATACAGTTGTGTTTCACGTTGGAAAGCATCCGACTGTCCCAGCGACACCCAAGAGATCTATAGACAAGAAGCTTGTGCCTTCTGCTTTTTGTAAGCTCATCATTTACCCTCTTTAGCTTTCACGACTACTGTGGGCCCACGCTTAAAGGGGCGATGCAACAATTTTTGTACTTTGCGCAAATACCACTTAAAACGGATCCCTCACGTTAATGACCTATGAAACACGCGTTCGTTTGTCACCCCACGCCCAATAGGAGTTCCTGAAAAAAAGAAAAACGAGCACCGGTCACTCCCTCAACTCGCAACCAGAACAAGTGGCCACGTGATCTGGAGCCGATGATATGCCGCCAATGTTGATCATAGCCACGCGCTAGGGTTGGCAAAGCACAGGACACGCGCTGAGTTCCAGACATTGTTATGGCTCGGCTATTGTCGTCGTTGCAGAGATTGGACACGGGCCACTACCCGAATGCTTCTCGAGCTAGTAATTATCACGAGCCCAAATCGAGTTCCCACGCAATGCTCGGGTCCAATCTATGAACCGCATTCAAATATCGTCACTTGGGGTGCACTGCGGTCCCCACGTTACGTCATCAAAATTTGCAAAGGAGAGATTGAATGAAAATGATCGCTTTTGTACTTGAAATTACACCGCAACGAAGGCGTTTCTTGGCCAGTGGCGTTGCGTGCGAGTATCCTTGAGTCCCACTAGTGCCAGTAAGCTCGTGTAAAGTGAAAAACATTCCAATTGAATATCGTTGCACCGCTCCTTTAATGTTATAAAAATATTTAAAGCACCACCATACCACAGTACTCGTAGTTTTCAATAGAACGAGAGCAAGCACACCATCATTGCCCTGTCGCACAATTCACTAGGCTCAACAGGCATAGAAAAATATTTCTTTAGACGCCAATTATTGCTTTCCTGGCGATGCTTATAGCAGCATTGTAAAAAAAATACTTTATTTTAAAGGTATTGACTGACAGCTAGAAGCCCAACCTCATAGCTTTATCTTTGACAGTTGCTCCTGTTGAGCAAGAGTTTGTGCAGCCGAGGTGCCTTGTTGAGCAGAGAGCTTGCACTTGTATAGGGAGTATTCACTGGCGGTCATAGCTGAGCTCGGCCCGCATGTTTGAGATCCCTAGTGGTATAGGCGAATGAAAGGGCATCATGAAAGATAGTGTTAAAAAGCACTTGTACCTTACTTTGAAAGTACACTGCAGTACCTTGTTTCAAGTACATCACGCCCGGTGCAGGCTACTACTTTACTCAAAGTATACATTACCTCTCCTACGCTTTGTACTTTACTTCAAGTACTTTTTAGATGTAGTTTACGTTTTTAGATGTACGCTACAGACAAACTTACCGACACGAGCCTGCTCTGGTTGTCCAGGCTGACAAGGGGCTCGATGGGGGTCGCCGATCGGCCGAACATGTAGGTAAGACCCAGGGCTGCCGCCGCGCCCGCCGCTGCCACCACTCCGTGCACGCCTCCCACGTACGACAGGTACTCGTTCATGCCGAGCAGGGACGGCCCTGCGACAAAGGACACCGCCGACATCATCCTCCCGACTCGGACTCTGGGCAGAGCCAACGCAGAGGACGCGGCGTCGGCCGAGCGGAGAGAAGGGCTCCCGCGCGTCACTGACAGAAGACACCGTCAACAGGAGCCGAGACGCCGAGATGCCGATCCGATTAGAGCTCTGCACGAGCGAGACGGTATCATCAGCCGTCTAGGGGACGCCCGACAAGGGAAAGACACCCAACTTTCCTTCCGAAACAAACATCGCCAAGAACGGTGGCGGTACAGCTTCCTCGAGTTCCGCTACCCGAGACGCCTCCACTCGTCAAGCAAGCGGAGAAAAAGTCAACGTTCTCATTGACACTGCTATCACTCTGCTATCACGCCGCAGTTAACTGCTTGAAATAAAAAGATATATACATATAAATATATATCGTCCTACTTGCGGAATCGTTTTACAACCGTGTCGCGAGCCTCGCTTACACGCTTCAGAAAAGTTCAGCGAGCCCCGGGGTACACCAACAAGAGGTTGGTTAATTTGAGAGCAGTTTAAGCGTGGCACCCTACCTGTGAGCGAGGCAAGCGCTCCACTGATGAACTGTCTTGTGCGCGCGCATATGTGTGTGTGCCCGTGTTAGTATTCGGTCGATAGAACTTCGACAGAGAAGCAATACGGAACTGTCAAAAATCCGTTTTGAAACTTTCAGAGACGGGAATAAGTGAAAGGCGACGGGAGACGAGTAAGATATATATGTCCTTTGGCTAATAAAAAAATGTATTCCAAGCTGCATCGTTGCTTCAAAAAAAAAAAAAAAAGATTATTATTTTTTTTTATTTTTTTTTTAGATTACACAAGTTGATTTGTCACTAGCTCGCCTGCTCTCATGTACGCACCTTCTTTCACAAAAACGCCAAGCATAGGGTTTCAAAACCAGCAAAATTTGCAATCTCGTTAAGCGGTCACAAAAAAAAAAAAAAAAATCTGCGTACAAAACGAAACTATATTTGACCTATCAGTGCGGGAAGCTTTTAGAATGAAATCCGCGTTAGCGCAGCATGAGCGTTTTACTTGGAAGAATGTCTGCATTGCTATACTTCGTTTCAGCTTCGGTCCGAGCGCGGCCGATGTTATGAGCCAAAGGGCCAATCCAACAGCGTTGATAGGACTAGCCGGGAATCGCCGTCTCTCTGTACGTGCTCCTCCACCGGCTAGCGCTATCAAGCGCAGAGAGCACGCCATGACGTTGCGCTTTTTGCCCTGTTTGATTGGTCCTTTGGCTCATAATATCGGCCGCGCTCGGACGCAAGGTGAAACGAAGTATAGAGCGCTCGGGCAATGGAAGTGCGTGCCCATATCAAAATCTCTCAAGCCTGCCAACTCGCAAAATAGTGTATCGAAGTTTTAGCCGGTGACGGCCATTTGGGCCAATTTGGGCCAAACTGGCGGCGCTCAAAGCACGTACGATGCGCAGGCACGTACGTGAATTGAGCACGCGCCCGCCCGGCGCGTGCTCAATACATGTTTTGAAGTGACGGCACGAACTCCCGCTAGTAAAGCGAAGCTCTAGCGTACGATCCAGGGGCGCATCCAGAACTCCGTTTTGGGGGGAAAGGGGGGGGGGGGGGGGAAGGCCGCCCCCCCCCCCCCCCCCCCCCTTGGATCCGCCCCTGGTACGATCTGCAAAAAAAGCCGCTCGTCCGCTTCCTTTGTCGTCTGCTGCGTACTAACGCCCGCGCGCTTCGGGATTTCGGAGTGCATGGCGCAGCGCGTCGACGCGTGCCGGCCAATGAAACCGAAGGCGAATCACTCCTATTGGGCGCGTTCAGTAGCGGCCCCGGAGTCAAGGAGTCACTGACTCCTTCCACTGGACGGCCAAAAGTCACTTCCGGTGCACGTAACTCCGGGGCTTCGGAGTCAAGCTCCGAAGCACCGAGTCCGGAGACTGTGCACGTAGAGTCAAAGAAGCTAAAATGACGTCATTTCCTGACTGGTGACGATTTCCGGCGCTAAAAGAGGAAAAAACAAACAATATGGCGGGATAAACTGCTTCGGTTCTGTCGCGGGTGCGCGGTTTGCTCGCTTTTGTTAATGAAAAGTGCTCTAGGTAAGACGAATAACGCGTTCGAATATCTTTTTCAGGTAAGGCTCTTTTGGAAAATGCATTGGACCATATTTTGTTTGGTATGAATATGCTAATAAACAACGCAAACGTTCATTTGACGCTGTGTCTTGATCACCGTTGCACGGAAACTCGGTAATTGACGATAGTCCTGTCCGCACTCAACAGAGCAAAACAGGGTATGAACGCGACTTTGGAAGCCGGTTGGACACTCACGCAGAGCATGATACCGATTAATGTTTTGTTTGCGTAGCTAAATCGGGGTGCACGTTGGCTGAGCCTCGCTTCGGCCGACAAAACCTTGATCGCCGAGCGCGGCCGGACTTCCCGAGTGTATACGAATACATTTTATAGGAAGTTCGTTACGAAGGGCAGAGCAAACGTATGGCCGTATAAAAGTATCGCAACCGGCGGGGTAGATTCGCTGAGCTCTGTATTTTGCGTGTGCTGACGACGTTTTTTGTCCGCTTTTATAACAGTAGCTGTCTTTGCACCGCCAAGCGAAGGGCTCGATCGCGTTGCATCGCTTCGAACAGCAGCGCTGATGTGTACAATTACCCGCTTTTTCTTCAACGACCTTGTAAAGACTTCTTCAATACCGGGGTCAAATAAAAGCGATCGTGCTCGCCATCGTCTGCTTCCAGTTTATTCGGAGACCGTCTGGCACAGGGGAGGAAGCGGAAATTGCGTAGAAGCAGGTTTGGAGCCGCGGGTTTTTTTGCCGTTCAGTAGGCGCTCCGATGACTCCGACTCGAATCACTCCGTTCAGAGGCAAGGGAGGCGCTACTGAACGCGCCCATTGGGATCGCGGAAACTAGGAGCCGTTTTCACGCCTCAGACTGATGACGTCAGCTCGCTCCATGAGACAGTTAATTCTTTCGCATTAAAGGTTCATAATATGGAAGCGGTCAAAGCTTTCCCTAGTCGAGTAGCAGATCTATTAATGCGTTAGCATTTGTACCCACATAACAGGGAAAAGCTCGTCTGCGGACAAAACCGTGGACAGGGAAGCGCGCTGCGTGGAGAGGAGGAGAGTAGTGAAGGTCAAAGCAAAAAAAGTATTTGGTCAAAGGCGAGAGGGAGGCGACGTCACGGGGCGGAAGCCAATGCGCGCGCGGACCATGGGGCGAGTCTGAACTTGCAGCAGCGTCAGGCAGCGGATGCCGTACCTTAGCATGCAAGGCGGGCGGGCGACGAAACAGAGGAGCGGAAGCAGCGCCCATACTCCGTTCACACGCGAGCTCGCCGGCTTCCGCAGTGCTTTGGTTGCGCATGCCTGCGCGTTCACACTTCCCGATGTGAATCTGCGTGCGACGGAAGCCGGAAAAATATTACAAAAAATAAATGAAGATCCATTGTTGGATCTTTAGGGAATGCGTCAGCATGACCCTCGGGAAACGCCACACACGTCGCCCTTTGGGGAAACGCTCACACTGACCCCGTAACAAAACCAAAAAGAGGCAGCAAAAAAAAAAAAAAGAAAGCAAAAGAGGTCAGCGTTAGCGTTTCCCAAGGGTCATGCTCACGAATTCCCTAAGGACTCACCAATGCATCTTTAACTTTGTTCCGTGTCCGATTTTGCCTTAATAGCGATAAGCTTAGTAAAGGTTTCATGAACAGACCACTCCACATATTGATTAGCCGCTATTACATACATAAATCGCTATCTACAATGATGGGTGTTTTGCTAGAGCATCCCTCACAATGCGGTTTCGTCCGTTCTCTAATTTGAGTTCGTTCGATCTGGCGAGAAAATATAGGAAAACGAACTTTAAGATTGATTTATTCCAACGATAGTTGGTGACAGCTTAACAGTTCAGGGGAAGTTCCTCCCATCTCTTTCCACTCTCACAGAGCGAACACTGGAGAAAAGATAGCCTCCTCTCCAGCTTTCGCTCTGCTAAATTGAGAAGATGTGGGAGGAGATTCCCCTGAATTTACCCTGAATTTATTTTACTACAGCACCTCCAAATCATGCGAGCAAACAAATCTCTGTAAACTTTGAGGAGGATAAATGACTGAAAACGTTTAATTTAAAAAGAAATCCAAAAGACGACATTAGGCCACAAGGTCACTGCGTTGCGATGACTACGCAGTGACCTTGTGGCCTGGTACAGTCTTCTGGGGGAATTAGGGAAGCGGATTTAAATGCAGGATGTCAGGCCGACTGTAGAGATAAAGAGATACAACGATCTGAGCACCCGAATCTTCCGTTGGGAATCACCCGCCGGGTGCGTCCAGTCCCGGAATTGTTCGGCCGGTCGGTTTGTCCCATCTAGCTGAAGATGAAGAGCCTGTACGTTTATAGACCTTCCGCAGTCCCGGAGTATATGGTGTAAACTGGGACACGAGTCCTACTCTCTGCAAAGTTTGCAATGGTGGTCAGATGGTACTGCGTAGGTGTGTTTATTTTTGAGAGCATAAAGTTATAATTTGTATTGGAAGCTGGGAGTCACCGCTCCGCCGGTGCGAATGCTCCGTAGCAGCACCACTTCTTTTTCTTTTCTTTTTTTCCAAAATGTGTTTTTCGGGATAGAGTGTTCCTCTGGGGACCAGGTTCTTCCTTGTTCGTTGGTCTAGTCGCAGTTCTTCAACGGGGTCGTGCGTATCTTGGTCCTCATGAGGACCGTCGTGGCAATCGCTCGGTCGTGGGCGTGACGAGCTGATGTCCGAAGGCCGGGGCTGCAGGGACGGGTGCGAGAGGTTTCTCATCGCCCGCTGCGCGGCTTCGTGTGCAAGCTCGTTGCCGGGAACTCCCTCGTGTTCGGGGACCCACTTGACGCTGATCTTGTCCCCCGTGTTCCAGTGTAGCTGAATTGCGGAGTCAAAGGCTGCTTTTATTGTGGGACTCGGAGTATTTGTGCTGGTTAAGTGTCATTTGCCACTCTTTTAGA